GCGCGAATTACTCTAGCTATCGAGGCTATTCGGTCGTCCAAAAATCTAAGCAAACGCTCTGCGGCAAAGATCTACAATGTACCATATACGACTCTTTCCGACAGAATGGCTGGCCGAACCTACCGCCCAGATTCTCAAGCCAATTGTCATAAGTTGACTGAGTTAGAAGAGGAAGTGATTATTCGGTATATACTGGATATGGATTCCAGAGGATTTGCGCCCCGGCTCGCTGGTGTAGAAGATATGGCTAATTTTATCCTTGAATCGCGGGGGGGAAGACGCGTCGGCAAGCTCTGGGCCCATCGATTCGTACAACGACAACCAGACCTTAAGACGCGTTTTAATCGCGTTTACGACTTCCAGAGGGCCTTATGCGAAGATCCTGACGTGCTAGGCGCATGGTTCCGGCTAGTAGAGAATATGAGGGCGAAATATGGGGTTACAGACTCCGACTTCTACAACTTCGACGAGACAGGCTTTATGATGGGTGTTATTTGTCCTAGAATGGTTGTTACTCGTGCAGACCGACGTGGTAGAGGCAAGGCAGTTCAGCCAGGCAATCGGGAATGGGCTACAGCAATTGCCTGTATTAATGGGGAGGGCTGGAGTATTCCTCCATTCTTGGTAGTTCAGGGCAAGAACCATCTCTCCAACTGGTATACCGACGGCGGCCTCCCACCTAACTGGGTTATTAAACCGACAAGCAATGGTTGGACAAATAATGAAACAGGCCTGGAATGGTTAAAGCACTTTGATAAACACACTACAGCTCGTGCAAAGGGTCTGTATCGAATACTAGTTTTGGATGGGCACGAGAGTCATGAATCGGCTGAGTTCCAAGACTACTGTACGAAACACAACATTATTACTCTTGGACTACCTCCTCATTCATCCCATCTAACCCAGCCACTTGATGTTGGGTGCTATAGTGTGTTAAAACGAGCGTATGGTCGGCAGATTGAGACGTTTATCAAGGCCCATATCAACCATATTACAAAGGTTGAGTTCTTTCTAGCCTTTACAGCAGCATACAAGGAAACAATGACAGTCCTAAACTGTCAGTCTGGATTCCGCGGAGCTGGCCTAGTACCATTTAACCCGCAAGCAGTGCTTTCAAAGCTTGACGTAAGGTTACGGACTCCAACTCCCCCTCGGACGTGTAGTGCCAACTCCCTCCCCTGGGTGTCCCAGACCCCTTCCAACCCAACTGAAGCCCTTTCACAATCAACTCTTGTACGAAATCGTATAGCCTGTCATCAAGGAAGCTCGCCAACTCCACTTTTTCAAACAGTTGCTGCGTTAGCAAAGGGTACAGAGCGAATGGCACATGAGATGACCCTTTTGTCTGCTGAGGTCCGTACCCTTCGCGCTGCAAATGAAGCCCTAAGTAAACGCCGTAGGGCTAAAAAGACTCGTGTCCGCCAAGGAGGGGCACTTATAGTAGAGGATGTACAGGATATGTTAGCTCAGGAGGATGTAGATGAGCAAGTACGACGCGACATGCGTGAGGCGGGGGTTGGTTATAAGGAGGGGCAACCTTCTAGGCGGCGCTGTAGAACTTGTGGAAAAGCTGGTCATAACGCGCGAACTTGTCAAGAAGTTATAGATATATCTAGTTCGTCAGATATAGAGAGCGATAATTAATTTAATATATTGTGGTTGATTTATTTAGGTGTAAAGTTCTGTGCCAAGAAAAAGTGATCGACTCGGTGATATGATCGACTCGCTGATAAACCACGTTATAAATATAAATATAATATAAAACTATATAGTTTTTGTTTTTTTAAAGCTACTTTGAAGTAATTTAAAGTATTGGTACTAGTTTTAAACTAGTTTTAACTCTAGCTTAAATCTTATAAATAACTCTAAAACCCTAAACTATTGTAGAACCTTAAACCTTTTATTAAGTTATATAATATAACTTAATTTTAATGCTAGCTTAACTAGTATTATTTATCAATTTCCAAGTAGTTCTTAAGTAGTTCTAAGTTTTAATACTAGGTTTAAGCTAATTTTAACCTAGTTTTAAATAAATAGTATCTTAATAGTACTTATAGTAGTAGTAGTATTTAAAATATAAAGAGTAGAATATTTTTAAAGTCTAGTAACTATAGAGGGTATAGTAGAAGGAACTATCTACTAGTAATATTCTATTTAAATATAGTAATAATATAAATAAGTTATTACTTTATATATTTAAATAAGCCTAGTTTAATATTAGTAGTAGCTATATAATAATAGAAGTAGAATAAATATTAGAAGAAAATATAATAACTACTAGGTAATTTAATTATGTACTAAAGACTGAAGTATTTATTAATATTATAACATAAAAAGAAGTATATATATATAGAATTATATTAGTACCGAAACGCTAGCTATGTAAACGAGGTTAACCCTAATATAACAAAGAGTTAAATTAATCTTACTACTTAGGTTAAATATAAGATTAATAAGACTTAAAAGGGATTAAAGTAAACTTAAGCTAGATTAACTCGGGTTAACTAGTATTATATCGGGATTAAGAACCTACGTTATATTTTATTCTAAACAAGGATTAACCTAGGTTAATCTAGGTTAATCTTGGTTAAGCTTAGTTAGTACTAGGTTTACTCTAGGTCAAGCCGACTTAAATATAGCTTGAAATTAAGGATCACGTGATTTCGTATTATATTCGTAACTATGCTACTTCTACGAAATACGCCCTATTATAATAATATACTACTAATATATACTATACTACTACCTATATACTATACTACTACCTATATACTACCTTAAAGGAGAGGCCGGGGTTTTTAGAATAGTTATATAACTATTAGTAATTAAACTCCGTTCTAGAAGTATTATAGGAGCGTTCCTACTTGGTAATCGTTCCGAGATAGAACTATTTATTAACTAAATAGTTTTTAGTTAAACGTATTATACGACTATTATTATAAGTAAGTATTTAGATTTAACGTGCATGTATAGCGAACCGGCCAAAACCCGGCGACCCCACCACACCTCCACGAAATATTAAATTTCTCTACAACGAAGGATGCCTCTGAAAAATGAGGAAAGCCGGTTAGTCTTAGCTATCCAAGCTATGCAAAAAGACCCAAATTTACGTGCTCGAGCTTGCTGCCAGGACCTATTCTGTAGACCACCGGAAGCTAGGTCGACGTTTGCTTGGTATACCTTCACGACGCGATATTTTAGCCAATTCACGGAAAATGACCGAGCTAGAGGAATCAGTACTTGTTCAACATATCCTCGACCTAGCTACAAAAGGATTTCCTCCGCGGATATCTGTAGTTGAAGATATAGCAAATCGACTTCTTGAAGCACGCGACGCGCCACGCGTCGGGACGCGTTGGGCTTATAACTTTGTTAAGCGCCGCCCAGAACTCCAGACACGCTTCCAACGAAAATACGACTATCCGAGAGCTAAGTGCGAAGATCCAGAAGTCATTCGTGGCTGGTTTGAGCTTGTACGAAACACAATAGCGAAGTACGGAATCTACGATGCAGATATCTACAACTTTGACGAGACTGGGTTTATGATGGGCGTTATCTCAACTGCAATGGTTATTACAAGCTCAGAAGGACGTGTAAAAGCAAAAAGAGTACAGCCTGGTAATCGGGAATGGGTTACAGTAATCCAGGGGGTTAATGCCCAAGGCTGGTGTGTTCCACCGTTTGTGATTGTTGCCGCAAAAAATCACCTCGCTTCTTGGTACCAAAACAGTGGATTTCCACCTAACTGGGTGATTGCTATTACTGAAAATGGTTGGACAACAAATGAGAAAGGCATGGATTGGATTCGACATTTTGAGAAGCATACAAAGTCCCAATCTATTGGTGGTTATCGTCTATTAGTCCTCGACGGCCATGAAAGCCACCACTCCGACGAATTTGAGGAATATTGCAAGGAAAACAACATTATCACTCTTTGTATGCCTGCTCATTCTTCTCATATACTCCAGCCACTCGACGTTGGCTGTTTTAGCCCTTTGAAAAGGGCATATGGTCAGCAAATTGAAGATATGATGCGGGCTCAGATCATCCACATTACTAAGGATGATTTCTTTCCTGCCTTCCACGCCGCATTTAATATTGCAATGACAGAAAGCAATATCCGAGGAGGGTTCCGAGGGGCTGGGCTTCTTCCATTTGACCCAGAAAGTGTAATTTCTACACTTGATCTTAAGCTAAAGACGCCAACGCCTCCAAACTCCCCCCCGTATTCCGCTCAGCCTTGGGTTTCCCAGACACCAAATAACCCTACTGAAGCCTTATCACAGACTGCATTTATTAAAGATCGAATTTTACGCCACCAAAGTAGCTCTCCAACCCCTATTTACGAGGCCATTGACCAGTTTACGAAGGGTGCATCAAAAGTAATGCACCAGATAGTACTATTGAAAGCTGAGAACCAGAGACTTCGACAAGCAAATGAAGTACTAAGTAAGCGCCGTAGAGCTAAAAAACACTCCTACAGCAAGGAGGATCACTTAGTCAACAGGAAGCGCAGGATCTACAGGATGATAGAGACGTTGGTGAGCAGGTAATGCAGTAAATAAAGAGAAGTAGTGGTCGGAAGCCGAGGGAAGAATCACGTGCACGGCGCTGTGGCAACTGCGGAGAGACTGGTCATAATACGCGCACCTGTATACATGCACGTTACCGAAATCGAAGGAATACGTATCGCGAATTTCCGATACTTATCGCCATAATGCCTAGCTCTAGCAACAGATTTGGGGATTTCCGTCAGTCAATAGCTGTAGGATTCAACTTCCTCTGTGGTGATGAATGACGCTATGGGAAAATATTATATACTTGAGATATCAAACATCATCTTAGAAAGCCTTGTATATATAATTCTAAACTAGAATTCACCAAAAAAGGACAGCTTAATTCACTGCATGACACAACGAAGAAAACAAGACAGGAGAAGAATGTACTGAAATCTATGCCAAAAAAAAAGAACTGGGTATCGTTACTGGGAATATTAACCATCTTAATCATATCTATCCCGCTTCCTCGATGTTGATTTCCTGTCGAGTTGAATATAACGCCAAAGGCATTATCCATGCCACCCAATGAATGCCCTTTCCCAACGCCTCTACACTATAAACGACAAAATTTTGAATTATTTCCCCGTAGGACCTTGTTTCTTCATCTGGAACCTCCTTAGGGTGAGAAACATACTTCGTTGGTCGTAGGCTCGTTCTTTTGGGTTCCAAGCAGCTCGGACGTCAAAGACGAAATATGCCGCTGTTGATTCCAACTCTACCATTCCAGTCATCAGGATGCTCCCACGAGGTGGGTAATCGGGAATTCGTCTCCAGGTTTGTCGTAGCTTCTGTTTAAAAGCCTTGAGCGGAGCAAGAAATCTTTGTTGATTCGCTAGCATCGCTTTTTGCATAATATCAACTTCGGCCTCATTGGGGTCTTTTTGTTCAGAGCCAGCCATCACAGGCGCATCGACCTTTATGACTGAAGATTTCCCATCCACTGTCGCACCTGGAACTTGCGATGATCCTTGTGGGTCTTTCCCCGATCCATTCAACATCTGTTGTTGTCGCGCCAGCATTTGGTCAATCGACGACAGTGGCGGACTTTGGCTTTGAATCCCTAGCATTCCGGCTATTCGTTGAGATTCCACCTTGTATACCACCTTGGTAAACTCCCATATCGATTTTGCGACTGCTGTTGGTCGCATAAGACGATTATTCCTGAATACGATGGTGGACTCCACGGGAGCAGTTATCCAGGAAATAGCATCGTCCGAGATTTCGATTCCGGATCGGACAAATTCTGGAGGGGGGTGCTGCGGAAAATCGACATCCAACCAGCATCTCCTCAGTTTAAGGTTTTTACCCATTCGACTGGCTTGGAAGAATGGATGTTGTTCCGCAAGTCTGCGAACATACTGGGCGAGCTCATCTACAATATGTTAGCGAATTTCCTAATGCAAGACGGGTTGTAACGAACCTCGCACCCTGTCTTGCAAAGGCCGGTCCTTGCTGAACTTGATGAATTCTTGCCACTCTGGATCCGTTCCACGATAAGGCGGAGGCCTCACTTCTTTCGCTGTGCCCGGGAATGGGATAAACAAGGCCTTATTATCCTCCTCTTCCGGCTCTGGAAGTCCTTCGATCTTATCCTCGAGGAGACCAAATACTAGCCTATCAAACACCTGAAAGCACACGTACGTTGTAAAGACCCCAAGTATCACTGCCCTAGAAACAAATTGATATAATTAGTCACTGGCCATGCCGACAAGAATATGGCATAGATATGACATGGCGCGCATACTTTGCTGATATGCCCTTCCTCCGCATTTCGACCCTCTGCAGATTGAGTACTTTCCCTTGCTGCTTCTGCGCTTCCAGCCTTAAGGGCAATCTCGTCGTCGAGAAGAGACCCAGCCGGGGTCGTGTATATCGGAACATGGTGTTCTGACAGAGGGCGAACCCGAGCCCCTCGAAAGCCCCTCGAAGATGGAGATGGGACGTTGGTGTGTGGTGTGTGGTGTTGTATGGCGCCCAAGTTCTTGGAGCAAAAGAAACTTGAACAGAACGGAATTTGGCGGGGTTAAGTACGGAGTATTAGAATGACATTTCAAAAGTGTGCCTATGACAAAAGAAAAGGTTGATACCAGGAAGTTGAATGGGCTTGTGATAGCGAATCGCTGGTTGCCCATGCATCGCATAATGATTCCCGGCAGAACCTCGAAACTAACAGGGAGAGGTGCGTGACTAACCCCTTCTGGCCTAGTGCAAGGCTTATCATCCATCCTGAGCCAGCTTCACTCTCGTCACCCTCTACGAGAGTGCAGTTTGCAGTGCAGTGCGCAAACATACAGCTTCAACCACAACTATGAAGCTCTCGACAAGCTTGCTGGTCCCGGCCTTGATTGGCGCAGCTTCTGCCTCATCCGAAGCCATCGCCTACATTTACCAAGGGAAACAGCTATCCCATCCCTCCAAACCCGCGACCCTCACTCCCGAGCAGGCACGATTAATCCTCGCACAGCGTCTGGGGACCTCACGATATCACGATTTGGCATCGAGTGCCAGCGAAAGTACTTTATCTTACATCAATACATTCGGCGGGGCACAAGAATCGTTATTTGATGACGAGGCGCTGAAGCAGGTACCAGAATTGGTGTTGATCGTGGAGGGAGTGTCTTCGCAGAGTGCAAAATCACTCTTGTCTGCTCAGGAATCAATCAAGCCCGCATTTTCCATCTTGAGCCCACCTCCCATGAAAGCGAATTCTCAATTCGTATCAGACCTGAATGCGCAAGCCGGACAAACAGCTGATTGTCCGCTCGAAGATGCCATCAACCCTAATGAAGCAAAATGCTGGAATGGCAAATCAAAGGTCATCCATATTGACTTGGGATCCGACAGGGTAAATAAAACGTCCACGTTTAGAGTGTGCGGATGCTAATTCTTTGCAGGACTCCGAACTTGTGAGATTGATGACAGCTCAGCAAAGGTTTATTCGCTGGGCGAAAAAAGAGGAGATGAACACCGTTTTAGTTCTTATGCCCGAATCAGCACGCTTGTCAAAATCATCTCCTAATCCATATGGAGTCTACGAACAAGCCTCCAAAGTGCCTCTTGGACGAAGACACTCGGAAGAAATCATATCAGGAAGTGCACCTCCCCACACCGTGGCAAAGCAGGCTTCAAAGCCTGCTAATTCTTCTGCACCTTTGTTGAAAGGCGTTCAGCCAGTGTGCCATTCGACTCTTGAAAGTTGCCAAACGCTCACTAACCAGTGTTCTGGCCATGGATCCTGTTTTAAAAAGTATGGAGGGAAATCCCCATGCTTTACCTGCGCATGTGCTACCATGAATGAGACATATTGGTTTAGTGGCAATCCTGGAAACAAGAAAGCACCAGCCAACAAGAAGGCATACAGACTTGTCAATTATGGAGGACCAGCATGCCAAAAGAAGGATATCAGTGGACCTTTCTGGCTGATTGCAGGATTTACTATTGTTATTATTGGACTTGTGAGCTGGGCCATCGGTATGATGTTCAGCATTGGGGAGGAAAAGCTACCTGGAGTCATTGGTGCAGGTGTATCAAGTAAGACGAGGTAGAAGATTGTGACGATGTACGATTTGTGAAGTAGAAGATACGGTTTCTTTTTTAATTAGCCTCATTATTTCCCAGCGGTTGGCGGCGTTCAGAAATGTACTTATCTTTGGCTGTGAGGAAGTGTATAGAAGTGAGGCAATGGATGATTGTATTGGACGTGATTTCTGGCCACATTCACGTGAAAAGCCAGGTAGCGATCTCCAACTGAAACCTAAAGTGTTCATGTGCTATTTTTAAAGAAGTTTCTTCGGTTTGATGCTATTTACAAATAGGCGTTTATGAATAGGCGAATAATTCTCTATCAGAAACTGAGTTGTGCTTCCTAAATGCCGATATCAATACCCTGGCCAGGTTCTCCAAATCAAGAGGCGCAGACTGAGTTGACCCTACGAAGGGTGGTGAATGTTTTGAGGTTGTGCGGTGGGAGCTAGCAATTGGCTGGAATGACTACTTAAGGATCGGAATGTTGTGAGAATTTCCAGCATTCTTGTACATCTTCTCTCAGCCCTAAAGTCATCCAAAGATCTCTTTTATCGCTTCAGCGTTGTAGCCGCTGCACCCTGGTTTTCTCACTCGGCTGTTGGCGGGGTTCATTTGATCCTTCATCCACAGACGTCACGCACGGGTGTCAAGCGCTCCCTTCGAGTCACGATCACCGGGACGATTATTCATACCAACGGCTACGGTCTCGGTCTCACTAGAGTGTGGCGCGCCCTACATTGACAAGTCTGACGGACACTCTGGAGTCTAGTCAGTCAGGACAATCAACACCGACTAAGCAGTGACTAGACTTGCTCTGCCGTTGGCCTAGTCGTGATTGTTGGTACATTCCAATTGTGTGGTCCTGATCCACAGCGTCTTACAGGTCTTACAGTACCCGTCCCCGTCACCGTACTTGTACCGCACAGCATTGAGAAGTTGCGACTTGCATGACTTGCACAACTTGCACCTCTCGCAACGGTTCCCTCCCCGCGTCGCCCCTCCAAGCCAAACCCAGCACTGGGCAAACCTTGCGGAAAACACTCTGTAGCATTTATCTGCGTCCCAACATATCTACCACATCTCCTCGACGTTTTGGCTTAAAGCCCTTCAACCGCACCAAAAAAACGGCGCCCAAAAAACTCCACTGCGCCGCGACTGAGGCCCTATCCGCATACTTGATACACCCAAGAGCTCCTGCAACAGGTTGCTGACCCTCTCGCTCACCCTCACCCTCCGCACAGCCCGGCAACCTTGCCGTGTCTTCACCTAGACACAAAGCAATCCCCGTATTGAAAGGCCACTCAGGGTGCAGCAGAAACCAACAGAGACGGTGAAGTGTGTCGTAGGACAAAGGCTCGTTGTTGTGAAGAAAGCGGACGCTCTAAAAAGTCCCATCCGTGTGGAGTCAGGTCTCAAGTCTCAAAGCCAACAGTCTGGCTGTCCTAAACCCTCCAACAACCCCCCCCTCCCCAAGGGATCCACCTCGCCCTTGGACTTCTACCATCAAGTCGCTCCTACAAATTCCACTGCTCCAAATTATGCTAGAGCCAGATGGGCAAAATCATCATGGTGATTACCCCAATTTCCCTGCAGACAATGATCATGTGCAACGGCGCAACCACACAGAGGGACAGGGACAGCGCCATTTGCAAACATGGTCGGCCCCACGTGGAATGAACCACCAACTTTTCCCACTCTTGCAACTTAAGCTGACACTGGTTCAATTTGCAGGCGACGACATAAACGGAGAAAGACCACGACTGCGTAGGCGTAGAACTGAGCCCCCGAAGGAAATATCTATTCCGAGTGAAATACCTAAACCCCGCTTATGGCCCCAACAAGAAACAGAAAAGAAAGCGGATCCCGTTCCTAGCAAAGCCAAAGCAGTGGAGAAGAAGACCATAGATGACTTTGTGATCCTTGAGGAAATGGGTCAGGGTGCCTACGGGCAAGTGAAGCTCGCCAGATGCAAGAAGGACAGTCGAAAGATGGTCCTGAAATACGTGACAAAACGCCGAATTCTTGTTGATACTTGGACGCGAGATCGAAGACTCGGAACAGTTCCTCTAGAAATTCACGTGCTTGACTACTTGCGCAGAGAGGACTTGAAGCATCCAAACATCATCGAAATGAATGATTTTTTTGAGGACGATGTCAACTACTATATTGAAATGATTCCACATGGCTTACCAGGAATGGATCTCTTCGATTATATCGAATTGCGTGTCAAGATGGAAGAAGAGGAGTGCCGCAGCATATTCGTTCAAGTTGCCCAGGCTATTCATCACCTCCACACCAAAGCCTTGGTTGTCCATCGTGATATCAAAGACGAGAATGTGGTACTGGATGGCGCAGGAAATATCAAACTTATAGATTTCGGCAGCGCAGCTTACATCAAAAATGGTCCCTTTGATGTTTTCGTCGGAACCATAGGCATGTTTGACTGACAACGTTATGAGGTTAACTGGCTAACATTACACAGATTACGCAGCTCCTGAGATCTTGGCTGGTAAATCGTATCGAGGCAAGGAGCAGGATGTATGGGCATTAGGCATTCTACTCTACACGATTATCTACAAAGAGAATCCGTTCTACAACGTAGACGAGATTCTGGATCGGGACCTTCGCATACCATATATCATGAGCGAGGACAGTGTCCACCTGATTCGGGAAATGCTGGATCGCAACGTGGATTCCCGAATTACCATTGAGAAAGTCCTCGAGCATCCTTGGTGCAAGACCAACAGTACCGAGGGAGGCGACGACTGAACGCGTAACCAAAACCATTTTTTGGAAAGCTATGATACCACGGGAAATAACACGCAGGATCTCGGAATGACATACATTGACATGAATTTGACGACGGCAGGTCGAGCGGTTTGGCTTGGTGAAGGAGTTAGATTTCACGCGTCACGAAGAATTGAGATACCCAAGAAGGAGAAGAATGAAGAGGAGAAGAGAAGGGGGTTCATATGCTGGTAGCACCGTCGGCTTCTTTATTACTCAAACTTGTATGATAGCGTGTACGGTTAGATGAGGACATAGAATGTATGATGGGGTTTGAGGCTTGGGGGACATGGTGGTATGACATGGGATGGGACTATGGGAGGGATTCGGGTGTGGACAGAAAGACCTCGAATTGCGGATTGAGAGGATGGAAAGTACAGAGAGAGAAATTATATTTAGGAGAATGATGATAGCTAGACTACTCTTCGATCGAGATATTCGAACCATCATATTCCATGTTTTGATTATTTTCCCCCTCGGTTCTTGATCTTTTGATTTTCTGAGATTTGGTGAACTATTAACTTGGAGCCGAGCATCTACGTAATATGATACTCCCGAGGTCCCTTCGGTCTGAAATCCGCCGGTTGGCTTTGGTATTTGTATGTGCATTTTGGCTTGTGATTGAAAGCCTACTCGTACCAGTAGGTACAGGACGGAGTGAAGTATCGCATCCCACTTTTCCCCACCATCCGGGTACAACCTTGGGCGCCGGGCTCCAGCATGTGAATCTGGGGCAAGGAATAGTACATAAGATTACAGAAGACCGGAACTGTCTTTGCAATTGACTTTCGCATTGGCTTTCTAATGATTTTCTGAACCCAATCGAATGATGAATTTTTTGTAAGATACAATACGGGTGATAATCACGAATGAAGGTAACGCGAATCCATCGCATTGTGGAAGCACGATGACATGCGATGCGCGATGCTCACTCATCAAAGGGGGTGACACAGGGTGTGGTAGATGTGTGTAACGCCAGAACCTTTGTAGCCGCCAAGCCCAGGTTTCGTCATCTATCAAAAGGAAAGAGCTAGGAGGTGAACCTCTCAACACCACTATCTCAAGTTGCATAGCACAAATCATCTCATCACGAAATACGGATAAGGCCCAGCAAGAGGTAGGAAAGGAAAATGGGAGTCCAAGAAAGCGCCTCACGGGCATTGACTTATGCGACGAGACAACTTGATCGCATCATTAGTCCTTCGACGAGGAGAGATGCGTGGGAGTATGTGGTGTGCAACCTGAGAGAGAGACCAGTTCTTGGTGTACGTATAGCCCTTTTCCCTCTACCCTCCTCTGTCTCCCCATGAAAGACCAAGAAGCTAACGTACAGACACAAGTCTCTCCTCACCCTCCTCGCCCTCACTTGCCTCCCCCCTCTCCTCCTCTTTACAACCTTCTGCGCCTCCCTCCTCGCTTTCACGATCGTATCCGCCGTACTATTCGTGGTCTTCTGGATTGGTGTCGCTGCGCTCGTCCTCATCCCCACGCTGTTTTTCACGATCGGAGTGGGGTGTTGTGTTTGGGCCTGGGGAGTTGTTTGGTTTGTTGGTGGACGGTGGGTTTATAATTTGATGATTGGGGAGGGGGAGGACGGGAAGGAAATGGGTGTTGTTGAGAGAGAGGGGAAGGGGGACAGGAATGAGGGGAGTGATGTGGTGGTTAATGGATTGGATGGGGGTGCTGGGAAGAAGAAAGGGAGTGCTGTGCAAGTCGAGGTTTTTCCTGCGTTTGAGGATGTGGATTGTGTTGGTCTTATGGGTGGGGGGATGAATTCTCCGTAAACCTGCTAGGGGTTGTCGAGATGGGCTTCATCGGGTGAAGTGTCACCTCTGGACTCAAAACGATCAGGAAAAGTGCTTGAGGGAGTGTATGAGGGGGAACATTGAAAAGTTTGTTCATTTCATTTGGGATTTGCGAGGCGGCTGGCTGGTATGATAATTCGGGCTGGGCAAAAGCTATGGATCTGGAATCTGCGATTTGCGATTCAGGCGTTTGGGGGGATTTTTGGAAGATTGCTATGGAGGAATCCTGCACTGAATACGATACCCGGATCTTTTCTCCTCGAGGGAGATTGATACAGTAATATAATTTCTAATTCATTTGTCGATTCCTGTGGTATGTTGGAGCTTGATTGATGTATAACAGTATAACTTATAAAGCTAGGTGGCAGAAAAGTCTGCTGTCGTTCTCTCTATGGTCGGGAATTTGAAATTGGTTCTCTGGGTCCTTGATTGCGATGTGCTTTGATTGTGGAACATACGGATTCTTGCTTCTCAGGCCCTTGAGTGGAAGTTGATCAAGTCTTAAAGAAGTTGGGGTTAGGTATTCATCTGGCCAGCGCAATTCTATCCTCCATATAATCTTATCTTCCTTTTCCTCTGCACGCAACTTGGTACTACGATAGATTCAGATTTAGTGTTCTAACCCCGTTATCCTAGTTATCTATAAACAGATCTAAGGGGTTTTTTAAAGACTAGAGAGAATCTAACCTGTTTCTAAACGTGTGAGGCAATTTCGATCCTCGCTCATATATATTTCTTTCTCTCAGCCCAGGAGTTGAAGTGGGTGTCACCCGTCCATCCCTCTGGGCTGCAAATGGGATGTTATGGTTTTCCCATCTCTGTGAATCGTGATTTATTTTCAATGATGGAACGTGAATACCGTATTGAGAAGGCGGCGTTGGGGTCTACTCTGCAGGGATCGAAATCAAGACCCCCTCCTCCTCCCTTCCTGATACAGACTAAGGCCTTGTCATGCTAGCTTACCTCCTGATGGAGAGAAATGAGGTAGGTTAATGTAAGGCGGGGAGCCGAGTCAGATAGTAGTTATATTAGTCGACCTAGAAAACGGGAGGAAAGGAACACTTTTGATTCGACACCTACCCAGCCTTGGTTTTGGTTCTTACTAGTGTTATCAGCTTAAGTCTCTTTTGTCTTGGTTGTTGACGTTAGGTCGCTCGGGATATCGAGCTTCGTGCGTGACTAGGCAGGTAGTGATGAGGTTAATTAGCTGGAGTAAGCGAGGGAGTGCTTATTCGTTTTTAGGAAACCTGAGCTGGTCTTGTTCTACTCCCTCTTGATTAAGGCTTAGACTTATTCTTTCTCTAACTACTAGTATAGTAATAAATTACTTAGCTACTTATATACTACTTAAGTTAAGTAGAGTAGTAGGTAGATTTAACAACCTACTTACTACTTAGGTAGGGGATACGACGACTTAACACTTGTACGCGGTGTATCCTACGAACCTTTAGCTAGGGCTTAATACCCTAGTCTAGAAAGCTAAGATTAAGTCCTACCGTCGCGAGTTTATCGTACTCGCGCACTAGAGAGATTTTCTATTACGAAAACCAACGATTCTCGACTTCTAGTAGCGGCTACAATACCACCTCTTTTTAACTCCTACCTCTATAGTCCTCGATTATTACCTTATCTACTCGTCTATTACCGCTACGATTCCCTGCCGAGCTAGTCTCCTATATATATCTACAATACTATATATACCCCCTAGCTAGGGAGGAAAAGCGGTAGAAGCTATATTTAGAGGGATAGGGAGGGTATACTCGAGAGGGGAGGGGGGGTATACAGGTAATAGGAGAGGGAGATAGGATAGAAGGGGGGGAAAGGCTATAAAAGGGTTATTTCGGGTTTTTAAGGCTATTTCGATAATTACGCCTCTATATATACTAAGACTCCCGACTAGGGTAGGTACCCTTACTTAAGGCTTTGTAAACCCAACTTTTAACCCTTAGGGAAAGGACTAGGGTACCTACTATAGTCTAGAGCTATCTAAGGAACTTTTAATTTCATTCGAGTATCTAGGCTCTAGGCTATAAACTCTAGCGTCAAGGCTCCATTCGTCCCTAATTTATCTTACCCCCGCTTAGGATATAAAACAACTGTTCTCTTCCTAACCGGCGTAGAGGGGGATACTCGACAAGCCCTTTTAGTTATAGCTTTACGTATAAAATGCTTTCTCTAGTTTATAATAGTACTATAATACCGCGGGATCAGGGACTCGGGCTTACTCTAGGAGGTCTTTTTGGCTAACTATGTTTTTAGCTAAATAGAGTAGGATATTATATATAAAATCTATAGCTTAGTACGCCTCTATGCCCCTCGGGAGGCCTTAGAAAATCTAGCTTGATCTGGTGCTCCGCCCTACTAGCGTAAAAATACTACTACTAGTACTACTACTACTTAGGTAGTAGTAGTTATAAATACGAGTCTATAGTCTACTTATTCTCTTTCCCTTATTCTCACCTATAATAGTACTCTAGCTTTTCAAGTTACTTCTAATCTTAGAAGTAACTATCATTCTTAAGAGTCTATTCCTATCCTTTTCTATAAATAGGGGAACGGCACTCGACTAAATCCGAGTGGTCGGACCGACTGGCAGGAACACCCCGGACGCATTACGGAGACTTGCGCCGGCTCGCCCCGCAAGGGGACTCGTTTACGATCGATTACTTGGCGAACAGGCGAGAGTAGGTCTCACTACTCTACTTTATTTTACTCTACTTTACTCATTCGACGCGCTGCTGACCGCACTTTAGAAGTAACACCAAATATGAGATGGGGAACTGTTGAGTCCATGTACCTCTCTGGAAAAATCTTCTTGAGGAATAGACAATATTAGAAGAAGTTGAAGAACGTTCATTATAACTTGGTTCTAAAGATTACCAACTCGGTTAGCTACAGGAGGGAGCAGGGTACAGGACAAGAAAGTAACAGGAAATACCAGAATGTTGATTTTTCAGATCAGCGGGTTGGAAATGAGCTGGTTGTGTTGGAGTGGATATCGAAGTACTTGAAGCTGCACGGTATGTCTGTTTTTGGGGCGGTATGACAGGGAACGTATGTGTTTCTTGTATATATGATATTGTACTTGTCGGTTCCTTGGTGGTTCTTAATTACTGTAATGGGAAGTTGGTTTGGTAGTATTGTACATGTCTGTGTTGAATGAGTTCTGTTCCCAAGCTAGGGATTGGGATTGAACTTGATCGTTTTGGATGAACCTTGAATTTGGTGTGATTTAGTTGTTTCTTCTCTTCTAGACAAGTTACGTGAAATAGACACTTCTCACTTCTCGCGATGGTAGAAGCATCCAAAGCCACGATATACGGTCTCTACCTATTTCAAGCCTGTTTCCAGATGTGTTGATACACTTTATCTATGGTATTTCCAAAACTCATCACTCAGTGAATTTTCTTTATAGCGGTGAAAGTGCAGTATCTAGCATCTAGTATTACCACAATGATTAAAGACGTACAACATCTTCAACCGAGACTTAAATTTGAAAGCGCGTGTCTTCAGCGGATGGAGAAGACTGATACTGTCTTACTCCAAGATGCAAAAATACAGCCCTTCAATGAGGAAAGCAAGATTGTGTAGCGAGTTTCCTGTTGAAACACATGCGTCTGAATCTTTTGTCGAGAGGAACCATGTATCCACTTAAAGGCATCTGGATGTTCTTATCTGTTGCAAGTGGTGTAAAGATTCTTCTTGGGCTTTCCTTCTGATAGAGCATCGGCACAGTGGGACGGGCATTCCATAAACTGTTATTAGAATCAGGCAAGAAATAACTTCGACGGTAAAATCCTCGAAGGCGATATAACACAGGTGAAGTTGTTATCCTGGTACGGTCTGCTAGGTGGCTTGAAAAGTCGTCTTGAGTTGGCTGTTTCTGGGATTTGAGAGGGTTAACAAATAGCTGAGATTATGGGTATTGTATGGAGGCTTTAGCGTTCGGTATTTGGAGTTCCATTCCATTCTATTCAGATGTGAGCCTGAGAGGTCTCTAGAGATTCTATACCCCCTTATTCTACAGAAGTTCCATAGAATGAAGTTACATGAACGAAAAAAGTCCACCTCTCTTTACTGGGCACGAGAAACTAAAAGAAGAGTTTGTTTACGCCGTATAAGTAGCTTTGGCATGTGTATTTATACAAGTTGTATGAATAGTCCTGGAGCACGCTAGTCTACTACAATCCGTCGATGTCTAGGCTAATCCACTAGAGTACGTCCCTTGGATATCCTATTCTCCTATTTGTCAATATATCTATTTCTCTACTACTCCTCTAGAATTCTATCTTTCTACAGAATTCTAGAGCCTGTTCGATAGAAGAATTGTTCTGTTTTAGAAGTGCTCTAAAAGGATTCTGGATGTAATTGGATTCTAGAATTCTGTAGAATCGTTTTCTGTTTATCGACACTGGGTTGATTTGAAGATAGTTTTATGTGTGACTGTTACTCGAAAAATGTTTATATGGTTAAGATTTTGTAGCGACTATTGGAAGAGAAGACTGAAATTCGTTGAGGTGGTATTAGAAGGAGGCTACGGTTGGTCCAAACATTTCACGGTTTCACCCATTTATATGTGAATAGAGATACGATAACGGTATTCATATGTCTTTCACATTTTTGGCACAAGTCTGTCCTCTACGTTGGAGTATCTACAGACTATACAGTAACATACGGTTTCTGAATTATTCCTCCATAGCCACTATTGCTAGTAGAACCGAATGTTTGCAAAGTGCTACAATTCTTGATTTTTCTATCAATCCCAAAGAATGGTAACACAAATGTCAGGGAGAATTTATGGAGGGCTTATAATCAATTATATCGCTTCAGGAAAACTTTGAGCACTGCCTCGGTCATTCTCCTGTAGCCTGATAGGAGCAAGACCAAGTGAGCCATAGTAAGTTGATAGGTACTGCAAGATTTCTAGGGATCATTTATGAAGATACACACATATGGACAACCCAGTAACACTTTCCCAAATTCTCAGGCGACCTCATGATCATCTAGTTTAATGGTTGTATCAAAATACCAACTGTTCATTCCTATGAGAGGCAGAAGTCAACACTCGAAGCATATAGTTATTTCTTTCTGCATATCACACTCGCAAGGCCAACGTTCTTACGAAGCTGTATATTGCTAAACTCCAATGAAGACCAATGAATGCGTACGCCCTGTTGTAACCTTGAATGCCATTATAAACTCGCTTGGAGGGAACAACCTTGAATCAGACATCCAAGACATCGAGGCTGGACCTCACACTAGCCGAAGCGAATTCCACAGAAAAACCCAAAGTCAACTAAAGTGGGGGCATAGAGCAATATACAACTGGCTTACGACGCATTCAAGCGAAGAGGATAATCCTCCGTAGACGGTAGTCCGCTATGGAGTTCTGACTGGGGCATTCAGCCTTTTCGATACCCCCCCACGCAGAGTCACAATCGCGGACGTCATTTTCGCATCAAACTCGCAAACTCATTGCTTACCTTGCTCTTTACCACGTATTTACTCACGTAGATGGGAAGTTAAGAGTAGGTACAGACTCCGGGAGGACAAGAAGTAGCTGACTCCGATTTGCATGCTTATTCGGCAAATTTGATGGTAATCTGACGCCGGATGATATCACCAACGAGTTTGCCATTGGTAGATGAGTAAATGAGCAGCGCGATACACAAGATCTGAAAAGCGATGGAAGGAATTGGCGGTAATGGGAAGCCCAGGACTCAGCAAGGCGGCTGTATTGGAAGATGGAAGGTGTGGTTTACCAATAGAAATCTTCTTACTCATGAAAGGCTTCTGATTCGCTTCGGTCTTGGGATCCTGGCGGAATTCATTGTGTTACACTGGCACAGAATCCCATTCGAAAGCAAAACGCTATAATTACGGGAATATGTTCCCTAGAATAGTTATCGGTTTTTCGTTGAAAGCACAAAATTCGCTTTCATGTCCCAAAAACACATTAGGGTTTCGTCCGTGGGACTGGCTGAACGTTGAACTGATTCCCAGGCAGGTTGGGTGAGCTGGCACCATCACCGCCATTCAATCATGCACTCATCGGCGGCTCGCCGATTTTGACTTCTATCCTCAATGCCTCAAAGGGTCCCTTTCGCCATACACCGACTCAATAGTCTCTGTTTGCCCACAGAATGCTTCCACTGCATGGCAGGATCGTTACACTACAGGACGAGAATACACCCGAAGCGAGAAAAGAAGCCTATGATAAAATCCCGTTCGGCTGCCAGCCCCAAACTCCATAACCACAAACAAAACAGGTCAAATTTTGTTATTATTCACAAAAAGACGTGTAGTTAACAGCCGTGAACAAAACTCGAAACATCCATTTGAAGCGCGACGGTGACTGGCAACCAACCAAAGTAGAACACGCATTTTCTTTCCAAAGACGCGGACGAGGCCATGACCTCACGGCGTTTACTGGGTCGACTGAATGGCATTTTAGCGATTCAGCGGGTCAGCCCATTCGGCGGGTCAGCAAACGGATTCCATAGCCCAAACCCGCGGTTGGTCAGAACCTTATGGGCAGCGGACCACTTCCAACAAAATGCAAACATGCAGCTCGGAAAGAATAATGGAGAAGCATAAAAATCGCAAAGCAAAATGAGGAAACAAGAAAACAACGGCGGCGGATAGGGAGTTATGACGAGAAGGAGGCGGGAGGGGAAAAGGACGCATGAAGAAAATTTCAAGACTTTCTCCATTTACAAGGAAACACAGCCCACTTGGCGGTATCTGGGCTGTCCTGGTCCCGAGGTCCACCTCCCGGCTCCAGCAATCGTCGTATTTGTCGTAGATTTACGATAATGGAGCTTGGAAGAGGGGGTTGTTGACAGCGAAGATTGCGTGCAAACTCTGCACTTCCTTTTCAGCTGACGGTGCTGACAATCGAAGTAGATCCCCATAGTTGACCTTGAGTCCAGCCTGCTTTGATGGCGTACCCGTCGGGTTGATGTGTCTGAATTATCCTCTAAAGTCGATGATATTTTTACTATCGAAATCCATACCGCCACTAAACATGACTGAAGGCTATGCGCATCCTTTAATCAGAGCTGTACAACTGTCGTAGACTTCTAGTAGTAGAAACAACATCGGCGTTTAGGGAAACTTCATACCAAGTATGAACCCGACGAGTACCTGCAGCGAACATCGATGGTACCTGCACATCTCCCGTGGCAACAATCGGATGAACTGGAACGGGGAGGAATAGACCAGGCACAGCACGGAAAAAGACCAGATAACCAACAGACTCATTCCTCCGTAACAAGTCCGATGCTGACTGGATGGGGAATGAAAATTGTCATAACTCGTCACAACCCCACAGCGACCCAATCATACTCTTGGAAGGGTTCAGCACAATATGCAGCACAAAAATTATGCTGCATAAAACGCTGTCAATTTTCATCACAACGGAGCACCACTGCACTGTACTCGAGTATCACGAAAAATATGGACCATGGTGCTGCTGGTGCATCGGTGCCAGGCTCTTTAGAACCTTTTCCAGGAAGCTTCCCCGAAATCCGTTCCAATGGCCCGAGGGCAGACGGTGGCCCTGCCTGACAGCTGACGATTCGCTCTAGACCAGATTGGCACTGACAGTCGATGAAACGTATTGTGGCTTTGGCTGGAATTCCAGACTTCCCTCTAGAATTTGCGCTCGAATATTCAACGAGAGGTTCAAGAAGTTCGGTGATTATAAACACCAATACTTGGCGTAACATCGTTTGGAATCCTCCCAGTCACGAGGTTCATCATTCTCCTTGAAGTATGGCGTGCGCTGAAGAGCCAAGACGAGCCAAAAACCCGGGGATTGGACGGCACCCCTGATTTTCAATACCCTCGCCTGTGGTTTGATGATCGTCACCATAATCGTCAACACTGATAACGCGTGCGACCAAATTGGGCAATTTGACTGGTGGGAAAAGTTGAGCGATCCATCACCACTCGTAGCGTGGGTGAGAATAGGAGAATTCCTGTATCGACAGTTCCATTTTTGGGTGCTAGTGGGGCATGGCGGTAAGGAAGAGACGTGTTTTTGCGATTTAGCGAATGGTTCAATGTTGACAATTGAAGCTGGTCGTAGCCGCTGCTCGTTGTGCTTCTATGGCCACTGGTCAACCTGTTTTTCCTATCTGTTCCCGGAGCCCATCAAATGAATTCAATCATGGTTGTTTTGACAGCCCGCTATGGCTGTCAAGGTTGAAGCCAAGTTTTAATTAAAACTTTCGACTGCCTTCCCCTGTTTGCCCCCGTGATGGAGTGCCACGGATGTTTTCTGAGCCATTCACAACGCAGACCACACTCAACCAAGATCTGGGTATCTTCGATGCCCTCATTCCAGAGTGCTCTGAGTGGATCAGGACGTCCGAAAATTAATGAGTTCATCTCAATATTCCCCTGTGCACGCCTGCCGACCCACACCACATATGCCCCCCCCCTAAATTAACGTGCCCACACACCCAAGAAGAAGAGCCCGCAGGGTACTGCCGAAACATTACTTCAGCAGCCGTCTCCCTCCTCTTCCTTCTTCAACCTCATCATAAGATACAGGTCCCAGTTGGAAAGCCGTTTCCTTCGTTCGTTCCACACTTGAGCAATACACCGCTCCCACACTCCTTCAACCCAACGGCCTACATCTTAACGACTCAACATCCTTTTTTTTTTGCGATTTTCAAATACCCAATCATCATTTGAAACGAGTTTATCCTTCAAAATGCGTTACTCCACTGCAACTGCTTTATTTGTGGCCGCCATGAGCGCCAGCGATGCGATGGCCGGCCCAGCTCACGCACACCTTCACCAACGTATCCACCAGAAGCGAGAGTAAGATGACTTTGATCTATGAAGTCGAGATGACATGTATGGCTAACACCACCCTGTAGTGTTGATTGGAAGAAGGTTGATTACAGTAAAATTGATTTCTCCAAGTTGGATGTCGACTGGGCCAAAGCATACGCCAAAGGATTGGGTGAGAAGGGTAGCACCATCAGCGCAGCCGATCTAGGGACCTCGTTGCTCGCCTCCAAGCCCAAATTATCAGCAAGCCCAAGCCCCTCTGTCAACCCAACCAAGGACAGCAAGAAGGGCGACGATGACAAGGACGATAAAGATGACAAGGACGACAAAGACGACAAGAAGGATGATAAGCCTGCAAAGCCAACAGCCACACCAAAGCCATCTTCTGACGATGTGGGAGAACTGCTTGGTGGTGTCGTAGGAGTTTCCAATGACCGCAAGAAGTTTGGAGGCAAGTCCACCCAAGTCTATGCGCTGGGCGACTTCGCCGAAAACAACGTTGGCGTCCCATATGGAGCCAACGTCATGAAGGTTGATAAAATCGGCGATTATCCTTTCACCGTCACCTTCGTGAACCCTCAGAAGAAGGCCATCACCATCAACCTCTGGAACAAGAAGGGCGCGGAGAATGGCGGGAACCCCACCGTTTTGTCGGGATCCACGGATGCTCCCAAGAAGACCACCCTGACTTTCGTTCTCCCTCCAGGAGGAGAGCAAGTCGTTGCCGTCGATGAGAACTCCAACATTGCCTGGGCCGAGGCCACCACCAAGCTCAGAAAAGACAGCGGCGGGTTCGACACCAGCTTCGGTGAGGTCACTTTCTTGGCCAAGGGCAGTGGATACAACTTGTCGGCCATTCCCAACACCGCTGGCAACAAATATGACATGTCCATCAGCAGCAAAGAGGTCAAATGTGTCAGTGATATGACCCAGAACTACTGGTTGACCGCCACCCAACCAATTGGTACTAGTGATGGAAGTTGTTACATTCCTTCAGCCACTGCGACTCTCCGAGTAGTCATGGCTGGAAATGTTTAGAGCAAAGGACAGAAAACGAGAGTGTTTAGGTGTGCATATTTCTTTAACTTCTTAGTATATAGTGTAATTTCAAAAACTTCTGGTCCTATCTTTCAAGGCGCGATGATGCTGTGATAGCGGTGTTTTTCTCCTATGGGGTGACTTGGAATGGTGTATGTATATAATTGTTGAGCATTAGCTGTGGAAAAATATATATGGAACAATTGGACCAACCTCCGTTGCAGTATTGATGCCATATATGAACTCGTCATTGCCCGTGCTAACGAGGAAGCACTTGTAGAATCTGCAATCAAGGTCTTGGTGACGGTTCTCATTGATGGTGTGAGTTGGAGGATGGTTGGCTGTCATAGAAAGCTTGGTGACTTTCCATGTTGACCCTGTTGCGTACCTGTGTTGGTTCCAGGTTGGTGTGTCTCGCTTGTGGGCACATTCACTCTTTGTTCTACCTCATATCCAACGCGCCTTCCCAATTTCAAAGCTGTCCACTCTTATTGGTTCTTGCCATCTGCGTTCTTCTATGTCTGCCAACTTATAGGTAGGTATAGCCGTATCGTCTTTGGTGGAAGTGACGTTTCTTGGCATCACCGGCCAGCCTCATCGCTCAACTTTCTCCTCTTTCAACACTTTCAAAACATCAACACCACAACATCAACATCCACTTCCACCACTGCGCAACTGAAACTCTCCAGTTGCCAATTGAGTACTCTTTATTCCTTTTGCTACAGTCTTTACTATCCTCACATCACACTCTCTTCTGCGGACCAGACCGATCTGGATCAAACCTCTACCATAGTTTCTGCTGTTTGCGAATCTTCTTTGCGAACAGCACGAAACTTGGTTGAGAGTCTACGACACCTAACAGAACTTCCTGAGAACTTTCCTGAATTATACAGGCTGGCCTAGTCCTTTCTGACCAAGATGCTTCCATCATTTGTCTTCGGTCTCGTCGCAGTGCTCCTTGTTGGAGTCCAGGCCGATCTCTGTGAGAAAGGCTCAACCCAGATTGAGGGTAACGTGTACTGCCAGCCAGTAGAAGCAATCCGCTATTCTAATGTAGGGGCATCGGGTACGTATAACGAGGTCACCAAGATGGGGATTGATGGAACTTGCGCCTCAACCCCGAAGAATTTCAACGGCCCATTGGCGCCACTCAACGAGGAGGTAAGTGAAAAACATCAATGAGCAATCTTCTTTGAAAGATCGACCACTGATATTCTTTACAGCTGTCCCTGCACTTCCGTGGTCCTGTACATTTAAAGCAACTGGCAACATATCAACTCTCCACAACAAATAGATTTAAGCGTAGTATATTGCAAGAGAAGAAACACAATCGACACAGACACCAGATCATCCACCAAGCTCGTGCTAACAATCCAATTGTGGAGCGACAAGAGGTGGTCACCGCCACAATTGATGGAAAAGTAGTCTCTTGGATTAACCAGTATACTGGAGGACCAGGAGGAGATGGCCCCAAGGCTACAAACCAAATTGTTACAGCCACTATTGATGGCGTTGTCCAGACCTGGGCGAACAACTGGTTCGGAGAAAGTACAAGTGCATCTCCAAAGACTGTTTCCACTGCAACACCCGTGGCACCTCAGCCTAAAGGTAGTTGGCGCCCTTGACACACTTATGTCTAACGGTTTTGTGCTGATAGATCATAGTCCCTTCCTCTGGACCGGGGGTTTCGATTCATCAGCAGATTGTAGTTCCAACTTCTTCGCCAAAGGCCTCCTCAGCTGAGCATCGTGTCAGCTCTTCCACTGGCAACTTCGAGCGCACTGGATATTATAACGCAGAGGAGCAGACGGTTGATAATTTGGTATTCTTGGGTAATTATGGCGGCCAAGGCTCAGGAGTTTTCGACTAGTACGCGTGTTCCTTTTCTTTTCGTGGCGACTCGCTAATATTTCGACAGCCATTTTGGGGCTTCGCTTGCCTATGCCAACTGCTCTGGAACTGGAGGAGCATCTTCTCCTCAGATTCTATCAGATGAGATCGTCCCCTCCGATGCTGAAATAATTGTGATGCTCGATAAGAAATGCAAGGGCGACTCCTGTGGTTATGTGCGCCCAGGGACAGTCGCTCATCGTGAGTTATCTGGATAAAAGATGGGTGCTAAGCAGTTCCTAACAGAGCATAGATGGATTTGATGGCTCCGACAAGCTCTTCCTTATGGAGTTCTCTATGCCCAGTGACGGGAAGTCTGGCTTTAATGCTGATATGCCTGCAATTGTAAGTTTCTGTTCTTTGCTTCCTCGAGCAGCCAGCTAATTATTCGCAGTGGTTACTTAATGCCAAAATTCCCCGCACTCTCCAATACGGAAAGGCCGAATGCTCATGCTGGGAATCTGGTTGTGGCGAATTTGATATTGTCGAGGCGTTACATTCAGGTTCGACGTATTTGAAATCGACGATACACACGAATACCCCGGCTGGAGATTCTGACTACATTCCGCGACCAATTTCGAGTACCATGAAACTCGCTGTAATTTTCAGCTCCGCTGACTCGTCCATCCATGTCGAAATACTCCCCAGCAGCACCGAGTTTGCAGCGCAACTTTCGGCAAGCGATCTAGACAAGTTATGCAATTCGGCGGCAGGAAGAACCGTTTCGAAAATCCATTTGTAATTGTTTGTGATAAGCGGCTGAACTCAATCTCGGTGGAATCCAGGATATGATGGTCTCAGGTAGTTTGCACTATTGTTTTTTGTTTGATGATTTACGACTTGACGAATCCACGGCCGGTTTCAAATTGACTGCAAGCCATGAAGGATACAAAGTGGCTCTTGCTGGGCTTCTTTGTTGCTTCAGATAGGTATTGCTGGGCAAATCATGCCAGAAGAGATGGTTCCGCTAAAGAAGGCTTACCGCTGTCGACACCGACGCAGTGTCTGTACCTAAAATAGATAAAAATTGAATCCTCTTCCTGAAAGGTACATCATTTGTGGCGATCTCTCATGTGTCTCTTCATATCCACCTTGGAATTCCATATTTTTCCCCCCTTTTCAGAGGAATAACTTCATTGTCAGTACCAAAGCTTGCTAACTTTACGTTACCGGGCCTTCGTCCAAGGAGCTCCCCGTATCTGATCTTCAGATCCTTCAGCTTCTGCGCAACATTTTCGTCACCTCCAAGACAGCCTCCAGCAGCAGCGTCGTTGAGGACAGCGCTACCAGTTGTCGTAGCGATGATCTGTACAAAACCACCATCGGTCGCCGACACACAATTTGATATCAATGCGTAGCTTCCCAGGATGATGAACGAGATGGAAACGAGCAACGTAATGAAATAAGGCAGCACAAGATTCAGTGGTTGAGAGAAGGTATAGACATTGATGTTTTCCAAGACGGTCGCATTTGCTGTGGTATTCCACCGTCCATATGCCAGCATTGCCGAGGTTGTGACTTTGAAGAGATAGTCATTCAAAACATCCTGCGATATTTTGAAAAGGGGACCGGAACCAGTTGGATTGTTTCCTGTGTAGAATTGACCGAAGTTTCTATTTAGGCGAGTTGATTCTATGATTTGTCCGGCTACACTTTCACCGGAGCTGAATGTCACCCCTCCTGTTGTATCTCCTGGATTTTCTCGCCAGAATAGGGGGTTTTCTGGAGAGCTTCGGGATATGTTGCCCACTGCCCACAACGTGGGATCGGGGGTGGGAAGGGAAGCTGTGTAATTCCCGTTGAGCCAGGAGAGCATGGCACCGCAGATTGCCATCAGATTCGTGTCTCGGTGGATCGCTATGCTTGCTGATGTCCAGTTTGCTGCGATATACCCTAGGTCTACACCTTGTGGTAATACAATTCCAGGGACGAGTATGACATGATCGTGGATTGGCACGGCAGGGTTCACGAGGCGTTCAATGGGGCTGACTTTATAGGTTGCGGTGAGAACGTTGTTTGTGTATGTGTTGTTTACTGTATAGAGAGCTCGACTTGGCACACAAGTTGTATTGTCTCGCTGAATGATGGCCGATGTGTTTCCGGCACGCCCTTCTTGTACTGAAACAGATATTGGTTCCAAGGTGGAAATGTTGTAAGTTGCTTTGCTGTATGTACCGTTGTAAGGTCTTTGATGAATGCGAACGCCATCCACGAATTCGATTCCAGACTTCCACTCGCCGTCATAAGCTGCGAACATGGCTTGATTGTCATGCCCGCCCATGTTCCAGGTGTCATTTGTTGTGATTGTTGAGCACTCGAGATATGGTCCTTCGAATGCGTGGCTGTATGTGCAGTTGACTCCACATAGTGATGGCATGGGTAGTGATTCTCCTGAGGCAAGAACCTGTCGAGCTATACGATTGACGAGATTGGTGCTTGTCATGGAGAGCAATTCGTATCCAGGAATGTATCCCCTCCTGGGACTTCTGGGTCTGGCGTAATACTCACTAAGGAATATGCTCTTGCATCAACCCCGGACGCATTTCCCATCTATAGAACGTTAGTATTCTATAGTGGCTGATCAGGGGTTAGAAACTTACAAAAGAGGCATTCAAAGATGGAATGGTTATGACTTTTATCGAACTGCTTTGCGTTGATATGATGTTAATAGCACCAGGAGGAAAAGCTGTAGCAATTTGAGAAGCCAACATGAGAATTACCAAAAGAACAAGCGAGGGTGTGGCTTTTAGAACCGTCAATTTTAACAGAAGAAAAGGATTCGACCTCATAGTAAACAAATCTTCAATCAACGAGACCTTCATGGCAGATTGTCGAAGAAGCCTCCAAAGGTGTTGACAGAATGCAATTCCCAGTGAGGTTCTTAGCGTAATTCCAAAAGCTATGGCTAGACCGTTGGAAACTGTTACAACAATGGATTGTGATGCAAAATTTCGGGGTCCATCTGCTTCTTTTCCATCAAGGAATTGAAAGAACAAAAGGTGTGCGATTGCTAACACGAGAGCTAGAACAGGTTGTTAGAAATGAGTCGGGAATTGAAGAAGAGCACATACCCGTGAAATATGATATTATCATCAAGGTAGGTGTCTGCCACCCTATTCCCCATTTCGATATGATTGGAGAAAGTTGCTGCCCTCCTGATGTCGTTACAATAGAATCACTTGAATCCGTCCTGGTCACTTTACTGCGGAAAGTCCGAGCGTTCTTCAGTGTCTTCGTGCTCCATTTTGTAGTTGTTTTCCCTGCGGGATTTGTAGTTGGAAGTACTGACATAATTGTAAACCAGTAACAGCAATCAATGCCACTGTATAGTATACTTCGTAAAAACAAGAAAAAAGCAAACGATCTGAGGAAGCTTGGCCATCAAATCAGGCACCCAAACCTGGGGAGTACGAAAGTTATATGTGAAAAGTAGGGTGGGATAGACGCCCATGAGAAAGCTCGGGGAGGAAAGAAGTACAATTCTTGTATAATTACACCAACAACCCATTCTCAACTCATCAGCATCAAGGGAATAAATCCTTCATGCATGAAGGATGGGGAACCAACATCTTAGACCCATAACTCACGACCAGTATCAAGCGCTAAAACACCAAAACAACAATATCAAAATCCATGAAAACCAACATGTAGCCCCCAAAGAGGGCTCCAAACTCGAGGCACAGCCCTAAATGTCCTGTGCGGTTGTCCGCTCAGACCGCCACCAACAGGATAGCGGGTCAGAACTATGCGAATATGCACAGATTGTGAGGATGACCGAGGGACCTGCAGATGACCTGCTTTATTGTGAAACTCGAGCGCCCATGGTTCTTTGGGATCAAGTTCAGATATGAGTGCGGCAAAGGCTCATGGTGGATTCTTTTGGTGGAGATCTTTGAGCTTAGGCCTATGGGGATGGGGAAATGGGGCCCTGGAAGCGCGTTGCGCTTGTATTTCTGATAGTTCGGCGGTTAGCAAAGCGCGGGATTGTGGAGCGCGAATCATAAATTTTTCTACCATTCCAACTTTGGATATGGGAAATCCATGAGGAAATGATAAGGAATGACGGAAGTGGTGATTAATGTTGTTTGGGATGAAGAAACTGGAGGTGTTGCAAAGACCATTGTCGTGCCGCTATAAGTTTGTCGGCTAAATAGTAAGGCAGCGAGCGACAGCGAGACAAAGCCACGCAGTAAGCCATCAGAGCCTAAACTACACTACCTACTCCATCTTTCACATCTTCACAAAGATAATCCCCACATGCTGAACCTTTACATTTTCTTGCTCAGCAGTGTCTGTCCCATGAAGAGAGGGGGTTTCGTTTAATCTTCGGGGTTGCAATGAAGCTTAGCCAGGGCAGATTTGGCCCCGTAGCTGAATGGATACAAACCAACAACTAGATAAGTTTTTATATCTTCTGCAATCACTGACTCCATTTTAAAAATTTAAACTGGGCCAATCATTGGCTATCTATTCTTGCACAAGTACTCTGACCCACTAGTGACTCCAGCTTCGCCTTCTTATCGAGTCTGCCTATCACCAACATACAGTATATTGCGAATTTCCGCTGCGCCTTTTTTGGATTCTCCACAATGACTATCACCAGGGGGCACAGTTCCTGTTCTATCTGCTAAAGCTAAGGAAGATTTCAAGAAATTATTTCAAAGGTGAGCAATATCCGAAGAGATTCGTCAGCCCTTCGGGATGTTTGTTTGAATTGTGGCAGAAAATTAGGACGACAGTCAAGAAGAACCACTTCTATTATCTATTCTATCTAGAGTCTTTCTCGTTTATTGGATCTACAGATTCTGAGGAATCGGCAGCTTTGGTTTGAGGAACCTCTGGGTCTGACACTTTGTCAATGTTTTCCAATCCATAACGAGTCTCTAAAGTCTCCCTCATTGAAACCTCCTTCACAACCAGACCTGCTACTACACCAAGAATGGAGAACGCTACACCCACCTCCCAAACGAGCTTCAAACTAATCTCGAAGGCAGTGACTACCTGTTCTTGAACAGCTCCACCCAATGATCCGATGAACTTATGCGAAGCATGCTCGTACGCACCCCCAGTTCTCAGTGTTTCTCTCACCAAGACATCTTCAAGAGTCGGTAGCAAAGTCCTAAACTTGGACTCAAATATGCTGGTTGGTATTGCCATTCCACAAATGAATCCCATCCCCTGGGCAAACCCCCAAACCGCTGTTGCAGCTCCAACGTCCGACTCAAGTAAAGGAGCTTGAATGGTGGGAAGAGCAGACGTTATACAGAGACCAGCCCCAGCAGCAAAGATGATTTGAACAACAATCCAGAGAGCTACTGGCGAACCCCGATCGAGAGTTGCAAAGCATCCTAAAGCAATGGATGCAAGCGAGAAGCCCATGATCTGGCTAGGTTTGTATCTACCGGTCTTGGAGATCAAAAAGCCTCCACAAATCCCTGAAGGAATGATTGGTATTAGAATTGGAAGAATATTGATACCCGATTGCTGGGGCGTTGCTTGTAACACTGCCTGGAAATAGACTGGCAGGAAGTATATCGCCCAATATATGTTAACCTGCGAAAGTTAGTACTGCTTCTATTCAGGCAACGAAGATTCATTGATAGGAGAAGGTTTGTAAAGGGGAATGAGAACTGATTGCATACGCCATTTAGAAAGCTCGCCAAAAATCCCAAGGCGGAAGTTGGGTGTTTGAAAAGGCGGATTGGGACAGTTGGTACTGGGCAATATTTGGATGACTCAAACAAGATAAAGACCGGAATGCCGAAAATTCCTAGTAAGAGCGTAAGCAATGTTCGCCATGAAGTCCACGCATGGTCACCACTTCCCGTTGAAAGGGCCCAGAGCACTGAAGCTACCGAGGTCATCAACCAAATATTTCCCACGTAGTCTATCTGAGAAAGCTGTTTCCATATAGACGCCGTTCGGCCGTGGTTGACTTTCATAAACACGCCCACCAAACCAATTGCAACTCCTGCAATAGGGAGATTGAACCAAAACACCCATCTCCAACCAATGTGATCTATCATGGTCCCGCCAACAATCGGCCCAAGAAACGTACCCATGGCGGTAGCACCCAGAATGACGGCGCTATATTTCGGTCTTTCTCTTAGGGGTACCAAGTCACTGACGACCATTGGCGGTAAGATACTGATTCCCCCTCCTCCCAGTCCTTGGATTGCTCGACCCGCAACCAGCGTTGCTACATTGTTAGCCGTACCACAAACACCGGATCCGATCAGGAACAAGGCAAGAGAAGTCACAATGCTCGATTTTCTGCCAAAGAGATCTGCAGTCTGTCCAAATAAAGGTTGGACCGCGGTGTATGTGAGGGTGTATGCATTGATAGCCCACACAGACAACGTTGAAGCATGAAGGTCGCTGACGATTGTTGGCAAAGCAGTTGCGAGAATAGTGGATTCCAGTGAGGTCAGAATAGCCGTGAGACAGAGTCCCGGGAAAATTGCCCAGAAGCGTATATCATGTTTCTTTGAAGTGGCGTTCTGTTCTTCAGTACTCTCGGGTACATCTTCTTCGGGTAACACAGAAGTATCTACCATGGCTGTGATAACAGTATACCAACAGCTGTATATGTTTTAAATGGTATTTGACCAGGGTCTTGAGTTTGTGAGCGTATGGCGATAATGATTTACAAAGGACAGGTTGACTGCTCACGGGTGAAAGTAGATAAGAAGAATTTAGCCAAGGCAAACGGAGTGGATTTGCGCGCTTAATGAATGGTCGTACAAAGATGCAGGCAACCCGTAGGCTGTAAACCTTGACAACGTGATCTTTGTGGATATGGGTTGTTCCTTTATCGGCTTTTGCTGAGGGGAATGAATCTACGGAGTATTTCGCATAGCTATCGGTCTTGGTGGGGTGCTCCGAAGAGTGAATTTCGATCCCATCATTTGCCTATACTTCACTTCAAAAGATATATATTTCTAAACTTGCTATCCCTTGGAACTTCATGTAATAACTTTCTTTTAGTTTCTCTTGGCTACCTCCTTGTCTCAACCTTGCAAGTGATGTTATTGTTGGAAGTGCGTCGCATGGGGAATAATCCGATCCAAGCTATCTTTTGCGCAAAACAACGGTATTTTTGAATCAAGAACACCTTCAGATACTGTAGGTTAAGCCTGGGAATACCCGGTGAAAGATACCTACTTTTATGTCGGAGTTCGAGGTAGTAAGCAGCTTCATGGTAAGGCGCATTTGGGAATACACATACAACTTCTATAGGCCAGACATGCAAGGTTCCAGTTTTGGTGATAGCAGAGTATCTTATTAGGGAAATGAGGCTTGTGAGTTAAGCGAAAAATTTGGGTGGGGGGACTTTCTAGAGCCTGAGTATTGTTTAGTCGCTGGTGCCGGGATATTGATACGACTCAGGAGTAGGACTGGGTGGAACTAGAACGAGCAATTTGGACAAAGAACCGTTGAGCATCTCCTTTGAGCATCTGAAATCGGTCGAAGGCGATACGGTGACCGAATATCTCTATTCCTTTTGTCGCATTGTGTCTGACACAAAGCCTTTATCCACCATCTCACCAATCCTTCCCTATGTTCTCTAAACACCAGAACAGCTTCCATTCAAGAAATATAAACCCCTTTGCCTCCATATCTTCCCAACTAACACCACCCCCAAAAGTCCCAGAAAATATGTGTCAAATCACAAAAACAACATACGCCTGCAACCACCACACCCTCCAAACCTCCACAGTGGAATGCAAAACCAAGCAAGAATACCCTAGTTCTGACTGCAACAAGACGTGCCATGAGATTTTCACGCTTTGTGAGAAGTGTATGGTACGCAGAATGGGGGCCAGAGCGAAGAATGAGAGGAGATTTGGGGATAGGGATGGGATGCATTTTGGGTGGTTGGGTGAGAAGAAGGGAGACTGAGAGGATGTAGTGATGGTTTTTATTCGAAAGGATTCACGATATTTAGGTAAAAAGTATTTTGGAATCAAGGCTCAGTCAGAGAAAAGATAAGATGTTATGAACTTCGTGAGCGAAAGCCAAAGCTTCGAGTAAGAATAAGTTAAGACAGCTAGAGCCTAGAGTTGATATCTGTCATTATTATACCACAAAGAGATTCTACAGAAAGATGATATAACCGAAAATGCCATTTCATCGTACTCTCTATTTCTGCAAGTGTGCATCATGATATTGAAAAAAGATAACAGTATTGTTTACCTCAAGCGGTTCCACAAACAAACAAACAAGAAGCATGTAGAAGATCACCGATCTTGGGTCGAATTAATAAGTGTACTGTGTATTCTATAGTTTAATAAAACGGGGTATGAACTCATTATCTAAAAGCCGAAAACCTAGGTGGCTTCCATCCAGAATGATATTCCATTCACATCATCCAAGATGTGATTGAATATGTTACCTAACCTACACACTAATCAACTGAGTCCAGAATATTCTTCTTGCCGACCCGAGTAATACATCATGTTCCCCCATTCCCATTCCCATTCCAATTTCCCAAGCTTTACCCACGACCATGTGAAGCAAGAGAACACATGAGGCTGTAGTATCATCACTACCTAGGCTTCAGCTTCGTCCATCCACTAGTTCCAGTTTTTCTGTCACCGGTGCCATCAACAGCCTGCGAAGGATCCACGGTCCTACAACTCATAAAGCTCTGTTCGACTCCTCTGAGCTTGGAATGCGTGTCAAGATCATCCCCATCTCTTGATCCCCCTGCGACTCTACCAACGACAACTCCATCATCTCCCATCTGATTGTCGATTTCCCATGAACCTTCATCTATAAGCTCCCATTCCTTGTTTGCGACTTCACTTTGCAATAGTGATCTGAGTTTGTCTGCAATTACCTTGGGATTAAGTAGTTTCCAGCTGCGGATGAACTCGGTTGCTTCGGCTCCTCCAGCGAAATGGGATGCTGTTCCATGGGAGTATTTACCCATCAGACGTTCTGAGTTTGCATTCTTATCCTCCGGTTCACTTCTTCCGTTACTTTTATTCAATGGCGTAGACTGTGCCGACGAAGCCCGACTTGATGGCTGAGAGCGAGCTTTCGTTCCAATAAGAAGATTGTATAGGTTTCGGCCAATATCACAGATATCATCAAAGCTAGATTCCTCGCCCACGGAGACTCCTTGAATCCTACAAGCCCATGCGACGTTGTACGCTAGCAAACTAACGCCCTCGATAAACAGTGCATAGGCAGCAGGGTCTTCGTGTAAAAGCATTGGAAGTGGCTTTGTGATATGTAGTAGTCTGGGACGAGGTAGATTTACATTCTGTTGCTCGTGCCGCGACGAAGTTGGACTCGGGTTGGAGGATTGCGTGGAATTGTTGTTCGGAGACTGCGGTGGTCTGGGCAAATACGATGAAATAATGGGATATATTGTAGGCTGAGGCTGCTCTGGCTGGGGAAGGTTGATCTCGGCGGGAAGTCGTATAGCCAGGTAATGCATCGTTAGCATAAGGAGGTGAACAATATGGGAAAGGGCAGTTGATATCTGAGCCGGGCTCGCAGCTACGTGGGTAGTTAGCAAGGAAACTTTTGAATTCTGAGGGTTACTGACTGTTTAGTGCTCTCAGATCAACGATTCCCACACGACCTATCTCGTACTCTTCCTGTCCATCAGCATTATTTTTGTTACGCCGTAATCCGTACAACTTTGCGGCCTCGCCGCACAAATATGCCCGCGAGGTAGTAAACTGGCTGGAGATCTTCTCCCAGTTGTACTTTGTGATACGGATGGACTTCCCAACATCTTCAAGTTGTCTTGCTCTACGAGCGTCTACTCCATTTGATGCAGATGCCAGTTCCGATTTTCTCAGAGCAATGCTAGCCTTCCTCTTTGCCACTTCAGCTCTGGCTTTCTCTACCTTTTCCCGGAACTCATCTGCATGAGCAATAATCTGCTGAGTTCTATCTGCCACTCTATCCTTCTCGCTTTGTACACTTGCTACTGTGTGATGATTCACGGGTGACATCGGCCTATCCTGCTGCTCCTCCACGGTCGAGAGTGAAAGGAGGGTACTTATTTCTTGGTCGAGGGCGTCCTTTTCGAGGAGGGCGTGGGCATGTTGTATTCGAGCCTCATAGAGTTTATTCCGCGCATCGGTGGCGCAAAGAAGTGGCAGTTTCTGTCCGCCAGTACGAAAGCAGATGTCGCACTGCATCTCCGAGGGCTTCATGGAAAGGGCTCCAAGTATCGTCTTCGAGGCTGTTGAGGTGACCGCTTAAAATGCGCGAGGGTTGTAGTGTCGTAGGAAGAGGTCTGGTTGAATACATAACGCGATCAAAGTGAAGGAAGGGTTGTGTGAATAACTTATAGGTCGGTCTCTCAGAGGTTCATGTTGCGTGAATAAAAGAAGGATGACGAGTATTTATAGGGGATGGGATGGGAGTTATAGTCGTTAGTCTAGAGGCCAAGTGCAGGCGAGGCAGGCCAGGCTTATTTGGAGTCCTCCATTTCAAGTTCATCGCAATCACCACGTGACCAGGCGTCGGTCTCTGATAAGGAAGGAGTAACTGAACGCGACTCTTTCAGACTTGAGCCAACGGGTACAGGATACAGCCAACTTCAAAACTGCTTGTGAACATTCTCGTCACTGATGAGCCTCTTTGGGTGCAGTGACCAAAGAAGCTAGTACTGGGCGCCTTCAATCAGTCCCTGGGCACGGAAAGAAGACAATCGTGAACCCCTCCAACCCTCGTTATCTAATCCGACGCGCAAATATGGAGCAGCGACACGAGCCTACTGCGGGTCTGAGTGGTCCTCAGTCTTCCCCCGAGACAGACGAGACTCAAACCCAAGGGGATGAAGAGCAAGAGAAATCCGTACCTAAGCTAAGCCAGTCTGATCACGAAGACGACGACGACGACGACGACGACGACGATTTGACACAGCTCGTGCAACCTCAAGTCGACGAATCTCCACTACCCGAGACTCAACAAAAGATTGTGCAAGACACTGCACCAAAAACCATGCAATACGACACTACTTGTACGGATGAAGGTTTCTCGGAGGTAGACGCCAGTCTAATCAAGTCTCCGCCTCGCGTTGAAAAGCATGACACTCCGGCTACCAAAGAGAAAGAGATTATTTGGTCAAAATCCACATCTCAAATTCCAGCTCGTGTCAAGGAAAAAAAGGGGAAAGAGAGAGAGGTTATTGCACCTATCCAAGTACCTTCAACTCCACGTGCTACTCAGCCACTTAAAACTCCAAAGTCAATCCGATATCAACAAACGCCCGGACTGTTCAGAGATACATCTGAGAATCTTCCAAACGAGGATCGTTTAAACGGTTCGCCTAGCAAAGAGGAAAAGCTGCCCCCGTTCGATTGGGAAGGTACTCACGAAAGATTCGACGACGAGATTCGGAAGGTTTGCAGGGAGGAGGAGAAATTGTCCGTACAGATTGACCAATACTCAAAGGTATGGATGTCCGGTCGCACACTTTGTTTCTTGTTTAACAATATTAGCTCCTCAACGCCTGGGCAGCGGGTGCGTCTCAGAGAGATACAAATCGGGCCTCCAAACGGTATGTAAATACCATGCTCATGAATTTGGCTTTCACTAACAACTACCAGCTTGAAGACGCGGGAACGGTTTGTACAGCTTTCGGAGGATAGACTACAGAAGAAAGAGCAACACGGTATGCATACTCTCGAGCTTTTCCAGCGAGATTTACTAATTGACATTAGTCGAGCAGGTTGTCTCCGCTTTCGAGGCAGCCCTCGATCTTCTCGGAACCACAAAATGAAAGCCTTGAGTCTTCCAAGAGCGATAAATGGACTTCTGTCACTTTTTCTTCTAACACTACATGTCAAGTCTCGCCAATGTTCAATGTAACATCTATTGCATTTTTTGCTATGGAGGAGGCTATCGCATTTCAGATGATGGATTCGGTTTTTAGATTTGCATTGTATTTTCACAGTCTTACCACTTGCTGTTACTATCGAGCATAGCCTGTATTCAATGATACCCCCTTCCCTTCAATTCTTCTTAGTTCTTTTGATTTGTGCTAGTATCCACAACATAGGTAATGAGGAGGAAGGGGCGCTCGAATTATGAGGAATAATTTTTATCACATAGAATACGTTTCAAAACATATGTGATTAGGTCCTGTAGCTATAGACGTAGATGATATTCAATCTTAATGTTGGACCTTGATAGAAGTTGGTTTAAAACGGTTGATGAGACTTACTATCAACTTTTTATTTAAATAAGCTATTTGAAAGCGTTTGAATAACGGGATGGAGTCACGAGAATTGAGATGAGTACTTGGCCTAAACCTGTTTTTGTATTTAATGGAATGGATTCTGGTCAGTTGCACACAAAATCAGTGAATGCAGGTGACGGGGGTGAGTACTTGTACCCGCTAGAAAATGTGACCTCGCGTTCTGCATAATTGGCGCGCAGTGCTTCCCCTACATAATTTCTATGGAGTATACCTATCGCGAGGCTGCCTATCATTTCTCCAAGCTCTAAGAGCGTTCAACTTCCAAAACAGCTTGTCCGTTATGACGGCTATTGATATTTCGCAGGTAATCCACTCGCGCAATTCTTTGGTCAAGTTGCTAATACGAATTTAGGATGATCTATCCTCGTTCCACGCTTCACATTTCTCTGCATTGTCTGTGAACCATTTCTCGCAGCATTTCCTCGGGCCAGTTGGAGATAAGTTCACAGCGGACGAAGAGGACGATGATGGGTTGGGATACTATGCAGATGGTGCGAAGCGGACGCTGACGGATGAACAAGTACGTCGCTGTTTAACCCCTATTCTGGATTTCTGGGGTGCTGACTGAAGTGCTGAAAGATTGCAATCTTCCGACACTCGGAAATCGAAACCCTTCTTCGAGAACGACGGCATGCAATCGAGGCGAAAGACTCGAGCGATCAGAGTACACCAACTTCAATGGCCGAGGATGGGGAAATAGATGAAGGCGAGATGAAAGATACTCCAAGTCCAGCCATTATTGGACCGGTCCTTCCACCGAACAACGCGAATAATCATAAGCTCTCGAATAAGAAGAGGAAGAAGGAGAAGAAGAGACAGATTGCTGTCCAAAAGGGGTATTTCAAACAGAATATTAAACCAGATTTGAGGAAGCGGACCTGGGATAAGGTTGAGACTGGGCTGAATGATTTACAATATGATGATATGGATACGGGAGCTGGGACTGGTCCGAGTATGGGAGCGCAAAGGAGGAAGATATCTTATGATGACTGAGGAAGCCATGGAAGCGGAAGCTTTGTCACATTTTCCAGGACCCTCGTGAGAATACGGGGCTAATATCGAAGGATCCATATCGAAACTGTTGCATGACAGCGATTTTGGAGCAGGGGCGTATCGGAGGCTCAGCCACATATCATAACAGCCAGGAATGTTTACACGGGCAAGTTCTCCCTCTCATATCCTTCAACGTCACAAGTCAAATGATGAGAACCATCGTATCGTCATCCTTAGTCTTACCTGCAGCATCTCGAGTTTCCGTAGCCACAACGTTGCGGGATTCTTTTGATGAAACTTGCAGTCTTGATGAAACCGCAATCTTCTCTCTGATCAGACTTCACATCTACCTCCAGCCAGATTCTCAAGTACTATGGTACAAATGCTGATTTCATGGTCAATAGGTGATTCGAAACATTGCAGGAGCTGATGAGTTTGGCCTGGTAGTCGTAAACTACAGCCATTCCAACAATATCACATGCAGAATAGAAGAGAAGGAAGGAATGGTTTGCCCTTACAATGATTGGACGCAGAAGAAGAAGAAGTACGGAGGATCGTGTCAATAGATACGCACTTAGGTGAATCGTAAAGAGGATTAATTCATGCAAGGCTGATGCCCAGCCTTACGCCGCTCACCCCGCTAAATACATCATTACCTACCTATTTCATGACCTCTCTTAATACATACAAACACATAACTCATAATTCCAAACCACCCAGAAGTTAATCCAAAATGCCCGAACCACCCAGCTACGACCACCACCTTCTCGACCGTCTCAACGCCCTCAAAAGATCAAGCATCCAACTAGAACCCTCCAAGTGACTTGACCCCCCCCGGCTCATCTCACATATCATCACATAGCTAAATCCTCATAGACCATCCATCCCCCATCCCTCCCATAATGAATCAACGCCAGAATCAGACCTGTCCGCTCGCCTAAGAAGTCTACGAAATGGCTCATCTCCGAGTCCCGTTTCAGCACCGCTTACTAATGACAAAACTTCACAAAACCACATTTCATTCTCACAGCCTCATGTTCCTACGAGAGTGGGAGATGGCGATAGAGATCCATTGACCAATCCTGAAGATCTGGATGAGAGGACCCTGGAGGAGCTGCTTGCTGATTTGGAGATGGGGGATGAGTGGGGATTGGATCCGGATGATCCTAAGGATGTGAAGAGGTTGCTTGATGAGGCTAGAGGCGTATTGGCTCGTGAAGGAGGCACGCCGCAAGGAAAAGATGGGAATGAGAAGGAAGAGGTGAGAGGTGAGAGGGAGGAGAGGAAGGGGAAGGAAGGAGGAGGGGAGTATCTGACGAGGGGGTTGGATATGAGTGTTTTCACCAGTACAGTTGATGAGGACGAAGACGGAGATGAGAGGTCAGAAAAGGGTGATACTGAAAGAGAGGGAGAGGGAAAAGCAGGGGAAGACGGTCTTGACAACAAGTCGAGAGAAGTGAGGGATATCGTCAGGAAGTTGATGGACGAAGTCAACCTTGGGAAAGAAGATGAGGATAACCATCCCCCAGATCCCAAATCCGCATCCCCATCACCATCAAAAGAAAAACAACCACCCACCCCCTTCTCCCTCCCNAGTCAACCTTGGGAAAGAAGATGAGGATAACCATCCCCCAGATCCCAAATCCGCATCCCCATCACCATCAAAAGAAAAACAACCACCCACCCCCTTCTCCCTCCCCTCCGCCGCCTCAACACTCCCCTCCCAACTACCATCCCGCAAATCTCTCGACTTCGACGCCGACATCACCTCCAGACTATCCGCCCTCTCTAACCCAAACCCAACCCTCAATCTTCCCTCCGCACCCACATCCAACCCCGATCCATTGGGTCTCCCCTCTGTACCAACCTTCAAGCCTAGTGACAAACCCGTCCCCGGGATCGCGAAGAATGTGTTCCTGGATGAGGAGATCGATAGTTGGTGTGTGATCTGTCAGGACGATGCGACGGTTCGGTGTCTGGGCTGTGAGGGCGATTCGTACTGTGCTGGTTGTTGGAAGGAGGGTCACATGGGGCCGGATGTTGGGTTGGAGGAGAGGGGACATCGGTGGGAGAGGTTTAGGAAGTTGAGATAGGGGATGGACTTCAAGGGTTGGGGGAATGGGGAAATGGAAGGTATGGGAGAGGGATTTTCTGGGAAGTGCTTGGAGAAGGATCGTATTATACTTGATTACGAAAACTCGAGTGCAAACTTGGTAAATTCATTAGTTCGTTGTATTCGTGATACCAAGCTTTACCCCCTATGCCATGAGCGACCACGCTAAAAGACAAGCCATCTAATAATATATAAAAGTAAGCAACTAGCTGCTCTCACAGACTCAGATTCTTAAGCCATGAATATAAATGATTTAACGTCTGGCCCGTGCCTGCGGGTTCATCTCATCCGTGAAATAACCATCTCGATCTTCCGTGGGTGTTCCAACCAGACTCCCCAAAGACTCGGAATCCGCTCTGGCATGCCCTGCTGCTCGGCGTTGCGGGGTATCTCTGTATTGTGTCCCTGCACTCAAATCGCGCTCCTGTAATCTGATTGCTCCGCTCTTCTTCTTTCCCAATCCTAACCTTTGGGATCGAGACTTTCCGACGCCGTAACCCTTTCTACGACCCATGATGTTTCCAAGACCAATTTTTCGTTGGTTCCGGTTCCAGAAGTAACCTCCGACAACACAGAGCATGATGAAACCGAAGACTGTTGGGAGGGCGATGTATATGTCTTGTGCCTTTGGTTTTTTCGGTTTGCCAGGGTGGTAATATTCTTTTGGTCGGTTTGTGACTTCCAACGTTGGGCCTTGGAAACTTGTGGGTTCGTTGGCGATGGGATTCAAAGGGACGATGAAGAGAGTGACGTTGTTTGCCTTCATTCCCTTCAACCATACGCTGTCGATTGTCCAAGCAATGAATCCAAAGGCGTTGGCTGTTGGTGGTGATTGGTAGGCTTGGATGCCGCCCGTAATTCCATCTGGGCCGGTTGCGTTTACGTAATTGGCTTGTACGAGAACCGAGGCGTTCTTCATGGCGAAGAAATGGGTGTCCCAATTTACTATTTTCACATCAATGATCATCCTACCAACCTGGGGAAGTTTGTTAACGTACCATAATATGTTTCTCCAATATAAACACTCGATCCATTCTCTGGCTTGCAGAAGGGCGCATAGTTCCCGTCCATATTCTGACAGACCTGGAATGATCCCCCACCAGTCGAGGTAGGCGCAGGCGCGCCTGGAGTTACCGTAGGCTTCTTATCCGTCTGACTTGTCGTCGTCGCAGTCAATTCTGCCGGGGCAGCGCTCATAGTGGTGGCCACGCCATTGGTCGAAGTGACAAGGGGTGTGATGGTCGCAACAGGTAAACCACTCGCATCGACCGAGACCCAAGGTGTGAGATCCGAATCTATTGTGCCAATTGTTAGTACTCGTACACAATTAATCATTGAACTGAGGTCAAGTCAAGGGAACCACTCACCAGCTCGAGGAACGGCAATGGCAGAGACGGCATTGTTCCAGAGCGCAAGGACAGCAACCAAGCTGTTGGTAAAGCTGGAGGCGTGCATTTCGTGTGCAGGCAGACCGGAGCAGAGCGAAGCTTGATGAAGAGAAACAGAAACTCCCGCCAAATCTCGAAAGCGAATAGAAGGGTATAGGTACTGTACAGTGGCTCCAGTGAAAGTTCTTTACTACCCCCTGACGTCAAACAGAAACACAAAATGCGGGATTAACAAGTAACGAGCGTGAGTGAAGTGATCGGGAGTCTTGGTGCTTCCCAATTTCAGTGGGGGAAGGGAAGGAGCAGAAGCTGGAGCTTGGTCCCTGATCTGCAGCAGGGATCGCATTTCAAGCTTCTCATTGGGCAGCCGCTTTTGCGGGAGAATGAGAACGACAACCACCAGCAAGACGTCACACCATTACAGACGGGAGTATATCGTGAGCAAGCATATTGTTGGGTGGCCAAGTTACGACGCCGCAATCCTGGACCTTTCTTCGTTGATCCCAAATTCACAACGGCCTAGCCGAATATAAATTTCTTTCAGCTTTACTACTGCCAGATGCGTATGAGATGATGGCATACCGTAGCTATAGAGTACAGAAGAAAAGACGGCACAGAGAATACCCAGTGGATTGGCCAAGATAGGTTCTTGATGCAGCTTACAGGCAGATAGTTTGGTAAGTTACTTCTCGGGCTTGCTACAAACATCCCCATTTGAATTCTAGCAAGATTTTAGTACATCTATGTATCGATATATCTGGAGGTTATGTATCTGGAGCGTATATAAATCCTAGAATTCAATCTAACCTTTTTGTATAGAGAAAATAAACAAGAAGGATCACGAAAAATACGACCTTAAGATTTCCTATCTGCTCTCTAAAGACTGAAAAAGTAGAAAGAATATAAAAAACCAAAAAACCTTCATGACCCCAGCCATGGATCGATCGCCTTAGGATAACCGAAGAGGGATCAGACACTTTTCCAACAGTAGCTGTTCGTTTCCCTCCGCAACCAACGCTTTAACCTAAACGCTTACCTTGTACTGCCCACCGTGATCACCTGCTTTCGTTCTTGACGCAAGTATTCGATAGCGCAACAGGTGTGTTCAGCAGTAATGGGAAGACACGCACGAACAGGTCCATACATTATCGCGTTATGGCGATCCAAACCCGCTACCAAAAAAAATCCACAAAACCTTTAGGCCCCCCAGCATCTCTGCTAGGAGGTCCCCTTCAGGAGAAACCCGAGTATTGTAGTGAATCCTTTCAAAAGTTCCAAAAAAAAAGCAAAAAAAAGCAAAAAAAGATATACTATAATCTGTTTTTCTTCTAGAGATAATTAGTGCGAGCGTTTTTGAGGGGGATTTAAGGGGAACTTACATTTACATACGACCGAGCGGTCTGACGCTTGATCAGCGCGCGTCCAAATTACCGGAGGAAACAGTAGTAGTGTTGGCGCTTGTGGGAATTGGTGCATATGGGAGCACACACTAACGGGCTGGGCCAAGCGGACAGGTTACCAGTTTTGATGGATGGATGTGTCTTGTTTGGGGATATCAATATTGTTTTGTGATATTTGTGGGGATTGGACGTAAGCGAGCGGTATTGATTGGTGGGAAGACCTCGGGGTGTTTGTCGATGGAGGGGTGGGGCTGTGGTAGGAGATGGGTGAAGGTGTGTGTGTGCTCTTGGGGATTGATGAATGGTTTTATGTGTAAGTTTTGACTTGGACCCCTTTTACTAAAGTCTGGTTTGCTTTCTTGCACTTGTCATTGGGCCCTTTCTTCTGCAGTGTGAACTTTTGATATACACATATTATATTATCGAGAATAGAGCTAGAAGGTTGCTTCCAGTATTGTGGTGGTGGACAAGGTGTGAACAATAAGCTAGAGTGCGTTGTCGTGGAGATGGCTGGGGCGGACCAGGTCGCTTACTATTGTTGTGACAAAAGCACACCCGCATATTGTTGTCCACCACCATCCACGCCCATTGCGGGATGAGAGTTCCTATAAAGATGTCAGCTAGACTCCATATCCCAGAGCTGGGACCTCCAATTCGAGTATCCATTTGTAAGTACTTCATATTCACCATTTTCAACAGACGGACAGCATATAGCTAATTACTAGCAGCGAATTCCTGGACTGCAAAAGCTCTCCGCACGCAGCTGGCCTTACTCAAACGTGAATCAATGTTTCCAAAATTCGAAAGACTGCCCTTCGAGTTGCGGCGCCAAATATGGTACGACTTTCAGGATCTTGAAGAAGCCCGCGTCGTCGAGGTCCGCTGGAGCAAGAGAAACAGACGCTTCTTTGCCGACACTCCCGTCCCCGCCCTCTACCACATCTGCCATGAAACCCGCAGAATCGTCAAGGAGTACTACGATACTATGGCCCTCACCATCGGCGTCACAAACACTGATCCAGTCCCTATGATGCTCCCTCAGAGAGGCTGGCCAGTAGCACAACCCAGCTTCACTTCTCAATCATGCTGTCTCTTCCGCATCTACTTCAACTACGATCGCGATACTCTCTACTTGTCATCCAACCATTTCGAGAACGGCGACGACGACCGTGAAGGAGGCATGCCATTGAAAATGCGCGAGTTCCTTTCAGCTTTGAATGCGCACAAGAAGACGTCGCAGAATTTGCGCGCGCTTGCTATCTCGGGTGATCACTTTGATGTCGATGTCGTCGGTAGCAGAATCTCCAACATGACGGCACTCGAATACCTCTACTTCGTCTTTGGCGACAACTGCTGTCCTCGAGAGCATTTCGGTGCCGGTAGACCCCTCGCATCTGCGCACAAGAAAATCATCAACTTTACGAATGTCAATGCTCCTAAGCTGCCTACTGTCCGACCCCCTCCTATGGCTCCGCCAATTATCAATATTCCTGGTCTTGGTCCGAGAATGTGTGGTATCCCAATTCATTTGATTCCTGGATATCCTCATTTCAATTCTCGTCCGGGTATCCTCGCGAAGATGAGTGAGGAGAAGCAACGTGCGGTTAGGATTGATGAGTTGTGGCGTCGGTATGAGGAGGAATTGTTTGAGTATTTGGAGGATATGATTGCCACGAGGATGGAGGGTTCTCGTGGCTTTCTACCACGCGAGGATTGGGATGAGTTGGAGACTATCGCTGTTGAGCCGATTAGGAGATAAGGAAGTAAATGTGATTTTGTGAGGTGCTGCGATAATTGGTTGTGGTAATGAGTGGGGGTAATTTCGTATTAGGAGGAAAGGAGATAATGAAAGGAATGAAGAGGTTTCTCCTGTAGATAGTGATATTATAATTTAATGCGTTGTGTAGTCATTGACGTGTTCTCCAACCCCCAAAAGGTATATCTCCAAATCTTCATGATTACTCGTAATAGTTACAGAATGCAAGGTCGAGAAATGCATCAATGCACCCTGCTGCTCTCAGGATGCGGTCATGGCTTCCCAGTCGAGAGCTCGGTAAAGTGAGAATGGGAAGGGAGGGAGGTCTACAAATGACATTATATCCCATCCCACATATTCAAATATCACTGAACATGAAGCCATGGTATGGGGATTCATTAATACACACCACACAAAATATAGTTATCCCCCTCTCTTAACAAAGCTGTCTCTCAGTTTCAAATTCGTCCCCAACATTAATTGTGCCCCGTCTTATCAAAACGTTGAAATTAACTACTCTTCTGCAATTATAGCTCCCATATTTCCCAACTTTTCATCAAGAAGCGGTGGAAGAGCTCAATGACAGAGCGGAAAACGGTCTGCCATCTTTACCAAGTTAAGACAATTGCTCCCAATATGTTCGGTATAAAATATGAAAATACCTATTCGGAGCTTCAGCAGAACGTTAGCCTTTGAAGTGATAATAGCATTATTCGCAAATTTATGGTTGGAAAGTAATTGTTACTAGCGAGCGGATGTTAACTGGTTAAGGGTTGTCGTCTTATCGATTAAATGAAATAGAATGGATGAAATAGAATGGATGAAATAGAATGGATGAAATAGAATGGATGAAATAGAATGGATGAAATAGAATGGAGGTTTAGTGAGAGGAACATTGTCATAAGACGAGGGTTAATCCCAAATATTAAATACACACTTGGGAGAGAAGAGCTAATTATTTGGGATAGTTTTAGAAGATCTCTAGCTAGTAAACTGGAAGGTGCTGGAATGCTCGGGCACCGGCCAGCCATGCTATGGAGAGCCGAAAGCGCTCCTTGTGGAGGAGTGATTGACATCAAAATAGGGAAAATACGCTGTCCCAGCGTTACGACCATTCATAAATTCCAAATCCAACTCGTATCGCTCTATTCCGGTATCCATCCATTTATATCCATACATTTACCATAACAATACCACATATTGCCGTCAAAAGCACGAAATCCGCTACCCTCAACAACACATCCTTGGCAATCCCTCATTTCCTCCCACTCAAAGTCCCATGCTGTGCCTTGAACGCGAGGAATGCCTTTTCAGCGAGAAACTTCAATTCCCTGTTCATATCTTTTTTCTTAATCAATGGATCTATCTTAGGTGGTTGGTGCCCGACTTGGCTTTTGGTGATAAGTGTAATGAGATGTTGTATAGAAGCGTCCAGTTTCTTTCGTTTGCATGGTATAAGTGGCTTCAACCGATACATAAGTCGGACGACTTCTGGATCCGCGCGGCAATAGGGACTCATGCTGTGTCAAGCGAAGCTGGAATATATGACACGATGCTCGTTCGTAGTTTGGTCTCGAAGTGGGCTCGGATGCTTGATGTGGTCGGTTCGCTTCGAGAAAGGAGCGATTTTTGTATGAAATGAAATATTGCTAGCTAGCGACGCAGAGTTGTGCAGTTCTTTTGCTTCTAACTGTCTGTTCACATCAAGATAGCAAGTTAAGACTATCTACCAGGGTTGACATTGGTCGTTTTGGTTCGATTGATCTCACTTCCCCTGGGGGTTCTCTTCAAAAGCAAAGTTCTTTCATTTTTGCAAACGAGAGGAGGAGGTTGGTCTTTCCAGTCCAGGGAGTACTGCGAAGGCCTGCCCTTCTTCCTGTAAGGAAATTAAGCGTTCTATAGAAACACCGATGAATTGAAAGTCTGTTGGAAAACCCAGAGGCCTAAAAAAGAAGAGAGAATGCAAGCATTGTAGTGCCTAAGCATTTCTTTAGAACAGGGTGACTGTATGCCAAATTTCAGACGGGCAGAACTTAGAAGTAGGAAAGGTTATACTATATAAAACGAGTAATTTCGAAACCTAGGAAACGATGTACTATTTATAACTCTAGTAAAATATATAAAAACTGTATTAACTGGATTATAAGACATCATTTACGAATAAGATGATACCACGATCGTAGATGTGGTTCAATATGGTCCGAAATTCTAGCAGTGGTTTATTATAGATAAGGAAGTGCTAATTAAGCGTCTCGGTAGAATAAACATACCATATTCGAGTATACTCCTCTATTAAGAAAACTATAAATATTATCTCTATAGTATAATTTAGGGCTCTTTTATTTAAGACAATTTATTAATAATAAGCTAATAAAATACTACTAAAACGTTCTTTATATAGGGATAAAGGTTTAGTATATAAATGTAATATTATAAAAGCTAGAAGCTAGAAATTATACGTTTATAAGGGTTAAGTAAGAACTTTAAGAATAGCGAATACTATAATCTAGTTTCCTAGAGTCGTCGAGGAGAGATTTTACTCGTACCTCGTACTCAAGTATCTATATAATATTATATTATTACCTAGGTATCCTTATAGTAAGCATTGAACCACCTGCGATAGAAGGGCTTCGATCCCTCATTGGTAGTTGAAATTCCACCCTGATTTCTAGATTGAATATCAACCGCCTCACCATCGAGAGCTGTATTTGTAACAGCATTCTGCTGTTTGCCCAAATAGAAATCGGGCATGAAAAAAGTAGCAACCAACGGCACGAAAGCTAGGACCAAGGTGGTTATGGCAATGTGGCCGTTTACAGAAGCATAAGCACGAATAGCGCCCTGCCTAACGGGACTATCGAAATCGTAGGTAGTACGTAGCAACCTAATATTTCCGTAAAGCTTTAAAATTGTTGCATCTTGAACTCCGGGCATCTCTTTGCGCATGCGATCAAGCATCTCGTTCGTCCAAATAGCCGAAGAGACGGCACTGCCGGTAGATGAGCCTAAGGTGGACCACAACGTGAGGAGAGCGATGGTTGAAGCCATGTCTTCATGCGGCACCGACGCTTGACTGCCAACCCGAGCGCCGACAACATTGAAGGAGCCTAGGCAGAAAATCAACTGAGCAAAGACCAGGCGGGCCGTGTCCTGTACCATGTTGCCGTTGCTTTCGATCAGCAGGCCATAGGCTAGCAGTCTCGCTACGGCGCCGAATACCATCATAGACTTGTATCTATGTGTGCTCCTCTGAATGAGACCAACGATAGGCCCCATGATACTGAGCCCCATGGTTGTGGTTCCTAGAAATATGGTCCATTCGTAAGTCGACCACTCTTTGATGATATAAATGTAAGAGGAGAAATAGGTATTGCGAACTGACGAAGACATCTGGTTGAAGGTGTAGACGACACCCGCAGCGAGAAATGTCCTGTTTTTGAGGATGCACTTTGTCATAAGCGGCTTTGGGGCAAGGAACATCTCGAAGAGGACGAAGGCAACAAGCAGGACAAAGCCAACGACCAGCATGGCAACTATGCTTGCGTTGGCCCAACCACCATGAGCCTCGTTTGCTAAGGTGAAGGGTAGCAGGATCAACGAAAAGGATGTTCCAAGAATAATGAGTCCGAAGATATCGATATCGATCAGGCCCTGGTGAAAGAGTTTTATCCAGTACTTTAAACCTTTCGATTTAATAGGTGTAGGCCCCTTAGCGCTTACCACCTCGCTTACCACCCCAGTCCTTGACTGCTTCGAACCGGCCATAGTGACCATACCCATCGCTTCTCCTCGCCGCTGGATCGCATAGAGCGTGAAAATGGCCGGTATGAGCAAGACAGGTACGAGGATAGCAAACATACCCAATCCCCATCGCCAGTCATCAACAAAAGCTTCAGCAATAAAGCCATTGACAGGTACAGTGATAACAAAAGGGATAGACAGAGCGGCACCAAAAAAGCCTCGCCACTGCAAAGGTGTTAAATCACCCACAATGATGTCGCTTAATAGGTCGAGCCCAGATTTGCCAACCGAGGTCAAGCAGATGCCCACCGTGTAGGCCTCAAAGTTGCTTGAGCTGGCCGCGAAGGCAAATCCGACGACGTAGAAGATAAGGACGACGACATAGGTAGTGGGACGTGAGGTAATATCTGCCAGCTTGCCGATAAAGGGCTTGCTAATAGCCCGGATGATCTGACTAGCGGTACTAACAGCCGCGAGCGAACTGTGCTTCCCGAACGTTGAACTGGCCATGGTAGTGAAAATGGTAGAGGTGATACCCTGGTCAAGGGCATATGCAAACATGGTCAGCCCAATTGAGATGCCCACCAGCCAGAGCAATGTTTTGCCAGATTTGCCTGACTGGTACAGCACCCTATTGAAGGCCTCAACCTTACTGACCCCACTTTCAGTGTGAGATTCATCCCCGGGTGCGGCTAAGATACCGGCATTCGAGACGCCTGGGATCGAGTTTTGTTTTGAGATAGTAGCCTTGATATTCATTAGCTTTCCAGACTTACAACTCTTTGCTAGGTTAATAACCGCGATGAACTTACCACTAATGCGTCGTTGGACTTAGATTGACAAACGGAAGAAGCGCCAGTTATCGTCGACATTTTATCCTAGGTCAGGCAGTTCCAGAAGCCCCTATATAACATAGTTATCTCCTGGTGTGTACTCGTATGATTGTACAGCCAAGGCTGTCTTATAGAAGTATCCGTACTGACGAAAAAAAACGTGCACTCCAAAGTGGAGTCAAGGTGTCTGCTTTTGTGACATTTGCCCTATATAACAAAGTCACTTAGCCAACCAGGGTAGGTTTCCAGGAATTTAAGCTTCAATTTGACCCAGTTATCGTATCCACTTATCTCCACTTTGGAATGCACGTTCTTCCTGAATCCCTCCACTATACCAAGGCTCTACTAGCAAATATCTGTTAAAAGTTTGTTGAGTTTTGTCTTATCAGATCTTTTCCCCGACCATTAGTCGGGGATCAACTTTATGGTTCAACCGCTTGACAAATGCCAAGAGTGCCATTTTGCTTTTACCGAGAAGGGAAGAAGACCTTAAGCTTAGCATTTTGGACAGAGGGAAAAGAGAAACAGAATAAGGGAAGCGGACAGAAAAACGTTGGTATAGTCGTAGGCCTAGCAGATATCTGCCTCGCCTTTTTGGTCACACTAAATTGACAATTAACCCTATGCTTAATAGACCGAGGCACCATTTCAAGCGGACGATTACAGTGACCGCCGAAGCTGCGTTCCAAGGCCTAACTTGAAAACAAGAAAACCGTTCTTCTTTTCTACAAAAAATGAAGTTATGTGAGGCTTGAGTACATGGAGGGAGAACAATTGGCCCAATCATGCTCAGTCTATGGTCGTATATAATAAATTTTGGGTTGTTTGTGGACAGGAATTCTCAAAACAGAGGCTTCCCTCTTCGTGACTATTGCCTGTGAATTCTAGAATACCTGTTTCTCTGTATGTTCGTTACAAATTTAAATAAATGGAGACACTGGTTTTTTTGATATTGTAGTAGGTTTTGGTCTCGCTGCTCGCAGGGCGTAACCACTCAATACATAGATATCAATCTTGGCGACTGTACGAATGTGTTGTTGTTCTTGACGATTCTTTTTGGGTTACAGTATTTAAAAACGGTTTACTAAAAGGCAGGCTGAATGAAGAGAGATAAGGCAAGTCAGAGCCTCCTGAAACTTGCAACATACCACCCAGAATCTGTTGATTTGTCGAGTAACATCTAGAGTATTACTCACAAAACTCCCTGGTGCCGTCCAACATGTGAGGCATTGGCATTTGATGCCTTGGAAAGCTTTACCCTTCCCACATTAGACGACTTTCTAACCAAAACAACCACAATCGCAGGGTTCCAACTACCTGCATTCTGCAGATTAGTGATTTTCTCTTCTGTTACATGTGTGGCCGGTAGTCGCAAGCGAGGCAGCTTCCCCTTGTGTCGAATTGGTACCTCTTGGCTTATGTCCTCGTTATGATCTTGCACAGGCTGTGCCAGTCAGATCTGTCGGTTAGTACTGGTGCCTTTCTGGTTGAGTAGCCTTCCATAATCAAAGGTGGAAATATACATATTTTGCGTTAACGAACCCAGATCTCCGGAACCGATGGATATTTTGGATTGTGGCAATCGCTCGAGGGAAACAATCCCTTTTCTGAGGGGTCTGTTGAGCATAATATGTTGCTGTCCATTAAAACTCGTTTTATACTTGTCGAAGGGCTAATTATTTTCTGGTGGGACGGAAGGCCAGTTCCTGTAGAGCTCTGATGGTGAAGCTGTCATTAGTGACTATCTATGGCCCTTACAGAATAGAGCAATATGGGGCTGGTGCTCAAGTGAATGTAGGCATGGAGATGAAACCTTCCCCGTCTTTATTGCAGCCTCCATTTGTCTTAAAACAACATCACAGATTTTCACTCCGTATCGAATCTGGAGCAACCGCTCTTACTTTTCTTACGTCTCCATAAGCTTTGCGAAATGAGGTGGAAACTTTGTTATAATAAAACACTATTCTTTTATTAGGATCAAAATAGTTCGTATATAAATCATTCGAGTCTTGGTTTTTAGAGAGTGGATCTTCTTGGATGTTTGGCGTGGGGTGGATCTATATCTCGCTTATACCCACCGGCTTAGATAGTACATCGTAACCAGCCCTCCAGACAAGGAAAGTGGCAGAGATTTATTTTTTAACTATTAGCGTAAGTTAATTCCAAGTATTTGAAATGCTTAAAATATCTAGAACAATTAATTTTATTATATTATCATTTGAGATGAATCATTTTAATTATTCCAAGTAAATAATGTAATATAATAATTCTTAGTTAAGTTAGGATAAGATGAAAGAGGTCCCTGCTACTTTTCTTGTCTACCGGGAGCCAGCTTTACCTGCATCCACTTCAATGGAGGATAACAAAATGGACGGGATTGACTCTGGTGGGCCTAGTCCATGTAAAATAGCAATTTTTAGCGTATAATAGGTACCGTTACTTCAGGAACCAGTCCGCTGGCTTTAAATGGACTGATTAGTGTTATTAATACTGTTAAAGAGTTTAGAGTTGATTGTAGTATTCATTTGGCATCTAGAACTGAGAACACCTATTTCATCGGACGGTACGGACGACTTTGTGTGTCCTATGTAAGCTATGAAAAGAGACTCTTCAGAATCATGATATGAGGAAATGGATCGCGAGAAATTGTTAAATTCACGAACACTTCTAGGATTTACCGACGAGGTCCGTGTTGAAATTACGTAATCCGTCCTACTGCATTAAGTCTACTTTGCCAAAGACTCTTTGTTAGCTAGATACATATAAACTAGCTACATCCATAGTAGAATAATCAAGTACTTAACCAGCTTCTCATTTACTATATTTTATCAGGTTATAAGCCCGGCTTACTAATGCGAAAAATTAATAAATCGTACCCTTTGTTTAGATACTAAAAACAGAATTTCGACTACTCGAATATCTACTAGTTTTAGAATAAAGATAGTATTTTTATATAGAACACTACTATATACGGTTACAAGTTTTCTAGTATAAAGGCTAATTTTAGCTATATCTATATTATATTACCTAGCGTTTATAAACTTATATTCTACTATATTATCCCTTCAAATAATAAAGCTAATTTATTTAAAGTAAATACTCTAAAATATAGATATAAATATATTTAACGAATATATAATATTTTAAGATATCTAGCTCTTTTTTATAATACTATCTAAGAGTACTATTTTCTATATATTTCAAAGATAATTCTATCTATCTTTTACCTACTTCTACTATATTAAAAGCTAAAAATATTAATATTAAAAACACAGATTTAATCTATAAGCTTAAGAATAAATTGTACTTTTTATAATAGAATAAAGATCTATATAGTACGCTTTATAGGCGAGATATAGAATAGTATATAACACTTATACTTCTACTATAATAACCTAATTTAAGTATTATCTAGAAGGCTAAAAAGAAGACTATAATAGGGTTTATTATTAAAATAATATCTATAGGGATTTATAATAATCTCTTAACTTACTTTAGTAAACCTTTACTGGCTCCCTAGGTTATATTAGTATACCTTAAAAAGAACTATAAGGAAGTTAGTAGCGAATATCTCTCTTACTTATATAATAAATACCATAATTTATTCTTTAAAAAATATAATAATATTCTAGATTTTATATAATAACTCTAAGAACTTAAGAACTAATTAATAAATATCTATTCTATTACTATGTACAAACTTCTTTATACTTAATAGTTTATTAAAAGACTTAGAACGTTATATAGATTTTAGTACTTAAATTATTAATCTATCTATAATGTCTCCTTAGTAGACTTTAAAGATATAGTATAAAGTACTTTAGTATACGCTTCTAGTACTCCTTTTACTATATCTTTCTTACTAAGTACCTTCATTTTAACTTATTCTAGAATAATAATAAAACTAATAAATAATCTAAACTAGGTTTATAAAATAAAGCTTTAAAAAAAGTATACGTACTATAAAAAGACGTACTATAATATTATAATATACTACTTAAAAGACTTAAATAATAACAAGAGTAAGAATAATTCAAGCCGAAAGCGCTACTAAAGAAATAATAAGAACTAATAGAATACTAGTACTATAAATAATAAAAACATAGTTACTATAGCTAAGTTATAGCTTATTCTATCTAATTAAGAACTAAAGAACTTAGTGTGACGGTTATGGTCACGAGGGCTGGATGTCACATGCTCGCTTAGCGAGGCGCTAGCGCGCACGACCTGTATTTAGTTCCCAGCTCTCTCGAGCTCTCCTTCTTTCCTCGTCTTTTGTCCTAAGAATAGAGTGTTAATTGTTCTGAGTTCTACCTGAAGCACGTCTGTCACATTACAAAAGACCCTTAGTTGAGGCTAAGTATCCCAGGTCTAAGTTCACGTTCACGTCCAAGTTCAGGTCCACGATCTTACGTCTCAATTCTCACGATTTCTACCACTTTCTTGTGCGCAAGAACCCTACACTTTACAACACGACGAAACCTCTTCTTTTTTCGACTTCTCTACAATGGATGCCCTTCAAGTTCAGTCCGCCATCGCTGAGTTGCAAGCTGAAGTCCAGCGACAGCGCGACGAGATTCACTTACTCCGGTCAAGAACATCCGCAAAGCCTAAACCTTCCCTCCCAGACCCTGACAAATTCACTGGCCAGGCTCATAAATTCGACACCTGGCTTCCCTC